GATTGGACCGTTCATCGGCGTTTTTCATCTGGAGTTATCGGCCTTCTTTCAAACCATTCTTTTCCTATTGACGTACGTCAAAGCAGATGTAAAATATCCTTTCTGCCTTCTTATATCTGACGATTGTTTTATTAAATCTCGCTCCAATATTTGCAGGCGGGAACTCCACAGTAGTAGATATTTATACCAAAATGCCAGTCCGCAGTATGAGTTCAAACATGTGTTCAGTCAGCTCTAATCTAACCATTTTGAAAGCATTGCCTTGAAAAAACAGTTCCTTGTAACTTTCCCCAGTCAGACTGGACTCGGGTTACTATACTCCGTAGATGAAATCTCAAAACGCGTGTATTATCAGAACCTCTATACCTTATGTGCATATATAATAGCCATAGGCCGACATGCTCCTGCATCATCCCATACATTAGAACCGTGGACCTTTTCCATCGCCATGCATATCGCATGAAAGCAATACCCGTAAAGCAACCAGCAAAAAAAGAGAACACCCAAATGAGACGCCAGTAAGAAAGGAAGAAACGGCACAAAGATGAAACATAACTAATGGACCCAGTCTGACCACCTGGATCACTGTCGATGCTTGAAACACAGAATGACCATTGCGGTCTAGTGGCGCTCAAAAGCAAATCAGACAAAACCAAGTGACAACAATGAGGAAAAGAAAAGAAAAGAGAGAGAAAAAAGGGAGGATGATAAGCTTAAGTATACAACAAAAAAGGGAACATTAGGTACATATTATCAATAATAATACAAGTCTCAGTAGAATTCAATACGGCTCCGTGAGTGGTCAAAATATAAACCAGTGATGAATCAGGTATCGGTTGGAAGGTAATGTAGAGGGAAAATAATTGGGGAAGGGGGGAAGGGAGGGGGGGGGGTCGTGTGGAGAAGAGGAAAAATGCCATCGTCTTCTAGACGACTTTACTGCTGGCGGTTTTCAGCTGCTGAGACTGCGCATCATCTTGTTCGCAGCTGATGACCGCAGCCTGGCTGACGGCTGATTCATCAGGCTGAAGCATGATTTTGGGGTCCTCGTTCTCGCCAGAGTTGGCAATCACGCAGGTATTTAGCTGCTCAATGGGCTTTTCAGAAATCTCCTCTTTGCCATATTTCTGAGCTTCGCTGCTATCATACGGCGCTGAGACTGCTGTGCTGCTAACTGGAGATGCCGAGGCAGCGGACTCAAAAGGATCCTCACTCAACGACGCTCTGCGTGGGTCGTGGTCGTTCAATTCATCGTCATTATTGCTATTCGTGACTAGGACTTCTTTGACCTCACGGGGGACATCGCCTTGTATTTCGATGTGATCATCAGCCACAGGCTCTGACTCCTGCTCATTGGCACACGAATGACTTTCCGAGCTATTCGTTTGTGTGAAAATGGGGACGATACCACCCCCAATGCGGGACCAGAACATTCGCTCCCTTAAACGAACTGTTTCTTCCCATGCATCCTTTTCGTCTTCCGTGTCACCAACGCGGATATGCGAGTCAAGGATAAGACGCAGATAGCCAGTGAATTCGCAGGAAGAACGAACCTTCTCTAGGCAGAGGACACACAAGGGGTACCGTTGAGCCGTCTCATTGTCGGACGTCCGGAAACGGTGGGTTCTCTCATTGACGGGACCCGCTCTGCGCTCACCACACAGTGAGCAAGGAAATTCGTATTTCTTCGCCGATGCTGGCATGGGCTCGACCACAAGACTTCCGTCACAAATACCACTCAGGACCGAACGTCGTGTTAGCCACGAAATCCCAGGGGCTGCATCAAGCCTGAGTGTTGGCTCGATGTCTTCATTCAGCACACGCTTATAGAAACGCGTCTCCTTCAGAGGAATATGCGAATTCGCTGGTTGCGGCGAGGAGATACTTCCATTAGGAGAGTGAGGTTGAGACTTAGCGGGTGACGACGACGCAGATCCAAACCCACCACTGCTGAAACCCGCGGCTAAACTCATAACATTTAAGCCGGTATACGATCCACTTGTGGCACGACTGGGCGGTTTGGAGACAGTGGATAAGGTGAATAATTCCTTGAACTCTTCGAATGCATGGATATCTGTTCGGCATATAGGCCGAATCAGATGAGAAAAACTAGTGGATGGACCTGGGGCTAACTCTTCCCGGATGGGAGCCGGTTCTGAAAGCACGGGTGTTTCCGCACTTTGTTTGATGATTGTTGGAGTCTGCTGCTGCTGTTTCGCAGGAGATACCGGTGCGGTAGACGCAATCGTACCCACTTCGATGTCATCTTTGGTAATGTTCATCTCCTGCAAAACAGACTTAAGTTCTGCCAGTTGTTCTTGGTGTGACGCGAGTAAAGATTCAGTATCCTTCACCTGAGCACGCAACTGTTCGTTTTTCTTCTCTACCGCCTCACGCTCAAGCTTGGCGGCGGCGACCATCTGTTGAAAACGAAGTTAGATCTTTGCTCCTGTTAGAAAAAAGGACTATCATCGGGTAGTTTACCTTGTTAGCTTCTTCAAAGAGAGCAGCGGTAAGCGTCTCAAGCTCTTGCTCAATACCCTTCTTCTCCTTCTCGACAAGGGCGCGCTGTGCCTTTTCGTCTGCCAATGCAGCCTTAAGTCGTAAGATCTCATAGTCTACGTCGGCTTTCTTGATTAAGACTTCCTGGTTGATATCCTGTCGGTATTTCTCGTTCTCAGACTCTAAAGCTCGGATCTTGGTCTGAGCTTGTTCGAGTTCCTGGCGGGTGGCAACCAAGGTATCGTCCAGAGTTGTTTGATTGTTGATTGCTTGGACCAATTTTACGCTCAAAGCAGCAACTTCGTTACTCAGGTCCGGGTGATGAGATGGTGGTCCCGATGGCTCTGTCTCTACGGAACTGCTCAAGAGTCTCGGGTCTTTCAGGGTGCTGAATCCACTCTCGGAAAAGTTCCCAACACTGGTTGAGCGTACTGTTGGTACGGGTTTACCGGTTGCGATTCCAGAGAGATCATTCGCAGACCTGGCTTTCGTAAGGGTCCTATCGGGAGAAAGAGCCCTGTTGTCGGAGGAATTGGATCGCTTGTGGTTGTTGGCACGCGGGATCATTGTCGACGGGGAGAGGAAGCTATGGCGTGAATAGTAGGAATGAAAAGCAATTAGACTGTTCACATGATTTAGCGACTGGATCTATACTTGGAGGAATGGCATCAACGTACTCGGCCATGGTGGTGAACGGTCGGGTTAAAGTTTTAGAATGATACGGAAAGCACGGAGACCGGAAATAGGTGTCACAACCACGTAAAATTCAGTTGGTCCGTCTTTCCCATCTGGAATGTACCGGGCAAAGTGAAAAGAGAGCGTTGGGATGGTTCTGCATGTAGCAGTGGCAGTAGGGGGGTGTCACGGTAACGCAATCCCCGCCAGCGCGTAGACTGGAACGTGATCAACTGGTCGGCATACGAAGCATTGAGTTTGATAAAGGATCGGGATGGCGATCGGAAAGAGAACTATATAGAGATATTGGCGGAGAATGAAAGAGAGTGAGGGTTGTAAAAGATAGACTGGAAGGGGAGAGGGGGGAAGATATTAGGAAGGCAATCTAGTGGGTATGAAATGAACAGTGACGAAAGAAGGGCGTCCTCGGAGAAGGAAAGAAGCAACCCCTCTTTTTGAACGATTGAAGGAATCGATCGCAAGTTGAGAGCAAACGGATCGATGCAGCTTTTAGTTTTAGTCCGCCGGGGTCACTAGTACTAGTAGTCGTTAGAAAGGAATTTGGAAAGATGGTTGGTTCAATTCATTTGCAGAGGCAAATCACGCCGGCGCTTAGTCACCTGCGATCCGGATTGGGCCAAGCCGATCGCCTCGGTCACGTCCCCTCCGTCACGGGCAGAGAGAACTTGAAGTTGACGACGATCAGGTGCAAAATTTAGACCTAAGTCAAGCTGAAAGCAAGTCTTGGTCAGGTGTTTCATGAGGTACCTGTAGTCCTGTACACAGTAGTGCCTAGGTACATACTACTACTGCGTACCCTTAGAACAACCACTACGTGCCACGTTCCCATCCAATCTCTCGGTTCATCCTCTCCGGATAGCTTTCCAGTGCTGTGCGCAAGATCTAACGCGTTGGTTTGTTCGTTTATTTATTTATTTTTTTTTTCTTTTCTTTTCTTTTCTTTTTTATCTTACTGGAATTAATTAAAACCCACGCGATTCCACTTGGAAACGACAAAAAAAATTAAACTTAACGTAAATTGGGACCTCCGGAAATGAATTATTGACAGTACGAAACTACAAATGCTCGTAATTATACGAACCGGCCCATTTTCTCCGACTAATATTAATAGTCAATACTTAAGTACGTACTTATATTTAGTTGGACGATCGGACATAGTCTAGTCTCGCTATCTATCGGGAGTGGATAAGGACGACTCAATTCTTGGCGGAAAGCGATGACGACACATGCAGCAATCAAGGGGAACATTTGTATGAAGTCTGAGACAGCTAAGCCGCAGTCAGTCAATTGGCAGATTGATCACAAGTCGCAATTGCGGTGTAGCTCTTATACAGTGTCTATCCCAGTTAGTACTAGTAGTAGGGGGGTTACTGTACGGAGTATGTACAACAAACCTAGTCGATGCTGTAGTTAGTTGGGTACTACTAGTAGTAGTACAGAGTACAAGATACGTACAGAGATAACACACGCGCGCGCTAGTCTATCTTCTCTCCGTGCGTCCGTCCTTTCCTGATTTTACCTCTTTGGGTAAACACCCTCATGGCGCCCCACATCCGTCGGGAACCGAACCCCAAGTGGCCTGAGTGCCTCAGGCTGTAGAAAAGTGGGGTTGGAAACTCTTCTCCAACAAATCCACACTGTCAAGTGAAGTGTGTACACTGTACAGTATAGTCCTTGCAGCCATACCATAACGGTCCCTGGAAGTGTTCTAGACTATCCGCGGCCACTTGTATCTAACCGACAGCATATCAACTGTGTTCATCACCTTGTACTATAATCACCCAACTAGTCAATAAAGAACCATGGCCGACGCAGAGCTGGAAGAGGTGCGTTCCTAAAATTTGTAGCGCTGCTATCCTGATCTTGCATGGCCGTACCAGACAATGACCAAGTTTGCGAACCATCTGCTGACTCCCAAGCTAGATCAGAAGAGCCCGTCTGGCACAGCTTCAGCAGCAGCAGGGAGGCGGACCACGAGGTAGTGCTGTTCCAGACGGCCAGGATGATCAGAGGAAGTAAGTTTTCTTTTGTCCTCGTCTTGAATTTTTCATGCTATTCGAAGAAAAGTATATTCGTTTTGGATTTGCATGGCGCAAAAGATTAAATAATACTAATGGTTTACTTTACAGACAAGCAGAAGGTATGCTATCTCATACGCAACCCCTACGACCCCGCGAAAAAGTGAGAGGGGCATGAAATTAGCCGTGGTAGCATTCACTTTGGCCCCAGGAGTTATATCTAACAATATACCTATCAGCCGAACGTCGCTCTGCGATTCTGAACCAGATCCTCGAACCCGAAGCTGCCGACCGCCTGGGCCGCATTCGCCTCGTGAAAGAGTCGCGCGCCGTCGACATTGAGAACCGGCTGCTCATGTTGGCACAGACAGGCCAATTGCGACAAAAGGTTTCGGAGGATCAACTCAAGCAGCTCCTGAATGCTGTGGCTGAGAACCAGCGCAAGGATGAGGAAGAGCATAAGGTTGTATTCAGTCGGCGTAAGGGAGGCTGGGATGACGATGATGATTTGTTGGATTTGTGAAAAGTCGAATTGCAAAACCGCGAACGTTGCTTAAACCTGTGAGAACCTTCTTACAGGCCTCCACTTGATACCTTCACCCCTTATATTCATGAGCTATGAAACAGAAACAAACTGGTCCTAGGCGTCTGCGGTCGGTATATGGTGCAATTCTTCGACAGCACTCTATCCCTTTAATACTCAACCACATCTGCACACCTTGCTTAATTGACAAAAGGATTGGTTTTTCCCCAGCAATTATGTTACCAATCAACCCGCTTGCAACAATAGTCTATCTAACGTGCGTTAAGATGAAGGGAAGAGTTCATCACTTTATCCAATACACAGCTACCGGAGGCCATCTAATAAATAATATACACATTAACAGCCGCACAAGGCCAAAACTATGGACTCTGCTGCAACCTCTCCTTCTCCCGCTTTTTCTGCTCCCTAATCATCCGCCTGATCTCCCTCATGTCCGGGGGCTTTTCAATACCCAACTCACTCCGTAACTCATCCACATCTTTCTCCAAAATATTCTCCCAATAAACATTAATCAACTCCTTACTTGCAAGCCCACTCCTGACCGCCCACGGTAACCACAACGCAAAGAACCGCTCCCGCTCCGCAGGCTTCAACCTCACAGCAGCAAACATACTCAACCCTGTCATGGGAATAAGCGTATTTAGAAATTCAAACGCCTTCAGCGCTATCTCCCCCTCAACGAAGGTCGGCAGGCCTGTCACTGCGTGATAGAAGTCGTGGCACTCCCGGTAGCGCTGCATAACGTATGCGCATTCCTCATCGTCGATGTACTGGACGTTGTCGCGCGTGTCAGGGGAGACGCCTTCGCGGTCTAGCCAGGCGGCATAGGTGCGACCGACGGAGTTCTCGGGGAGAGAGCGGAGGTATGGTAGGGGGAGGGTTTCGGAGGTGATGCGCGGACGTTCGCGGAGGATCTGACGGCCGGTTGGATCCGAGAGCATGGCATCACGGAGACGGTAGATGAAGTAGGGAGTTGCGGTTGCTTCTCCACATGCTGCGATGAGATCTATATAATTCTCGGGCGTTGGTGTTAGCGCACGGTTGTCTTATAGTTTATCAATTTTGTAGGTTCGATGCGGGTCATAGAATTGGTTGTTATGGAAGTTTAAAGGAAATAAGAAAGCTTCCCACCTGCTCTCCGAGGATTCAGTAGAGCTCCTACGGCAGATCCAACAGCTAGAGCACCACGCTCGACGAAGTTCAACGGGACATGGCCGGGATACTTTGGCGGCGGGCGATTATTCACGGAGAAAGACCGCGTGCAACAGCTTACTACCGTAGCTGGTGTTGACAAGGTCAATTCGCGGAGACTCAGAGCTCCGTGCCTCCCAAGAACCGACATCTTGAGCGCAGAGGGTGACATGCCTTTATGGACATGACCCTTTGAACGAATGCGACACTAAAGGTTGTAGTGGTACGATGCCCGGGGAAGATCTCCGGTTGGTTGGCGATGCTGGTGCCTGTGCGATGCCGTACAGCTGATAAAGATCGATAAGCATTTTATCGCCCAGCCCTATAATGTTGCTTTTTACGGCCTCGTTCGACCACTAGATGAATATGAGCCTTCGACCTTTGTGATTTAGCGGACTGGCATCAGGAGGAATATTTCAGTAGCTGCTTCTGAATGTGAGATTGACTTATTGACTCTGTCTTCCTAGAACAACCTTACTTTCTCTTTTTTTTCTGTTCCACACCTTTTTCTTTTCGTTTTTCTTCCGTACTGGTTATACTTCCCCGCTAAGAGCTCAAAATCCCGCAACAATGAAACCAGACTGGTGGCCTGGAGAGGAACATGAGCAGTTCACAGAATGGGCCATTTCGCAAGGTATTATTGCGAACGGGGTCGGGCCTGCGCGGTTTCCAGGTCGCGGCTTGGGAATGATAGCCACGCGAAATATAGAAGTATGCGATTTGCTCCGAAGCTATCAGTGCCGCTCTACTTCGCATCAATGTAATCTAACCCTAACCTAGGAAGATGAAGCCATTGTGATTGTACCATTGAAAGCAATGCTAACCCCTGAGCGTATCCCGTCTTCTTTCACCGACAAATTCCCCGACGGGACACCGACCCATGCGCTATACGCTGCATTTCTCGCGAATGGCGATCTAGAAGACCTGGAAGAGTTCAAGGCCTGGAGAAAGACCTGGCCTAGTCGTCAAGACTTCGAAGACAGTATGCCCATTTTGTGGTCAGAGTCTCTGCGAAACTACCTACCACCGTCAATCTCGAGCCATTGGCATAGTATACAAAGCCGAGACAAGCTCCAGTACGAGACATCCCATCAGAATCTTCTTGCCCAGCAAGAACAAAGACTGCGCACGGCTTGGGATATCGTCGTATCTGTTTTCCCGGATATCGATTGGGAGATATTCTCGTACCATTGGCTTATAGTTAATACGAGAAGCTTTTTCTACTTGATGCCAGGCCAGGAGCCGCCGGAAGATCGAAATGACGCCATGGCGCTACTGCCGTTTGCTGATTATTTTAATCATTCTGATGTTGCGGTATGTGGATCCAACCATGCAGGGTGGTGTCTTCAACACTGGCTTACCTTATTTGGGGTTATAGTGCAATGTAAAATTCGATGGAGAGAAATATGTTTTCCGAGCTACTAAACGCTATGGTATGTATTGCAACTGAGCTTCCTTCTCCTGTCGGGGACACAAGGGACCTTCTGACCATGTGCCGCAGATGAAGGAGAAGAAATATACATGAGTTATGGACCTCATCCTAATGATTTCTTGTTTGCTGAATGTTAGTCAAACCCGTCTTCTGCTTTCTGGCCGTGGGTTAACCACAGCAGATGGCTTCTATCTCGATGAGAATGAGTCAGAAACCTTATATTTCGATGATATAATATTAAAGGACCTTGGCCCATCACTACAAGAGGAACTGGAGTTCCAGCAGTACTATGGGTATGTTGCAAAATCCCGGGTGTTTCTCTCTAATTGGTCACTTTTGGCTCTGGCAACTTCGCCGATGTCTAACCTACTTGCGCTCAGTAACTACCAATTAACGGCCACTGGCGTGTGCTACCGTACCGAGATTGCCGCGTGCATAAACTATATGCCACTGGAAGACTGGCGGAACTATGTACTCGGTTATTCCACCAAAGGTGCCGATGAGAACAAATCGGAGGCTATCATCCAAGGGTGGATAAGAGCGTATTCGAATGAAGCAGACACAGTAATCACCACCCTGGAGAAAATCGGACCTAGCCCAACAGACCAGAAAGATCACCAAAGGGCAAAGATGCTGAAGAAACGATGGACACAGATTAGAGACCTTTGTGCTAAGGCCTCCAAAGCCGTATCCTGTTAAATCGATAGGGTTCGTGAAGTGGAATTGCATGCACATGGTATCACAAAAGTCGAATTCATTATATTGTACAGGTGTGAGAGCATGTTCATATTTTGGGCTCTCGGAACAGATCAATCGGAATAGCACCCGACTCTACCTGCTTCGTTTGGAGGCGTTTGGCGAGAACCAGGTGCTTCATCATATAATTCACCACACATTTGATACCGAGTTCCTCACCCCTACGTACGATGTAACCATTCAAGTATTCGATTTCCGTAGGGTTTCTCGCCAGTACATCCTGCAACATCGAACTATGATTCTTGGCTGTCTTGTTAGCCAGCTGCACGATCATCATCCGCAGTCGCTCGGGAGAAAACCGGCTTTCAATTCCAGGAATGCCTTGTAATTCGGGCAAAGCGCAGATGACACTTGAGATCTCAATGAGGAGCAACCGCATGATACGCGTGAAGCTATAGTTGTAGAGGAGTTCTCCGTTTTTGCAGTTCATTATCGCTGTCAACGGATTGATCACACAGTTCATCGCGAGCTTCTCAAGCTGGTATAGCATCAGGGCGGATGGAGTTTCTGCAACAGCAACAAGTGGTGGTGTGAGCGTCAGTGTGCGCAACAGGTATTTGGCACTAGGGGCCCAATCGACATTCCCTTTATTCGCTAGGGAAACGGCATCTGCCGGTGGGACAGAACCCAAGATAGTTGTGCCAACGCCTGTGTGGCTGACTTGGAATGGTTCTTTCCTTCGCGCTAAACCGTGGGAGATAACACCAGACATGTAGTGTGGACGTCGTAGAGGGTCTCGGAAAACTTTCTCATTCAGCTCATCGATGGTACCCATTCCGTTTTGGAGGAACAGGACCGTTGAATCAGGCGTCAGGCGGCGCTTGACAGAGTCCATCGCTGCCACGGTCACTGGTGCTTTAACAGCAACGATGAGACACTCAATACGCTCGTCGGCAGGTTGCGCCAAGAGTTCCTCATTATCGACATCTTCAGTGTATCCGTCAATGCTGTCGTTTCCATTCTCTGCTGTACCATCCTTATTCCAGTATGGTACTGAGTACCATGTCTTGTCATTCAGTACATTCACATCAAATCCCGTTTTTACATCATCCAGGCCATTAGTATTGATCGCTAGACATTTCTTTCTCTCTAACCAGGACCTATAAAGATTGGGAGTGTGCATCAGAAGCGTGATAGGAGGCGGAGACGGCCGGCTGGCCAGAGAGTGAGCGACGAATGTTCCAACATTCCCAAGGCCCAGGATATGTATGCGGCCCGAAAGCCGGCGGTTGCCGCTATCTCTCGACGCTTCCTCGGCGTCCTGATGCCATGTTGCCATATAACGAACGGTGAAACCGCGCTGAGCATCGACTACTGCAGAAAGGCAGAATTTGGAAATGCCAGTCCGCAAACGCGGACGGCGTACTAGCATGGACAACACTTTGGAGGAATGGCGTGATATACAGACCAGATTGGTCTTCGGGATGCTCAAAGCCTAAGCAACTGTCATAGAATTGACTAGCTGTGCATTACAAGACAACAAGTCCTCTATGAGTGACACAAAAACAACAGGAAAAAAAAAGTAGTATAACTGACTGCGAGGCTACCAGGACCAAGTCGACAACGGCCGAACTCCGCGATAAGATTAACACAGCTACTGACCGCCCTATACACCGCCTGCAGATAAAAAATTGATATTATCCGTGAACCAATTCTCAGTGCCGACAACCATCATTCAGAAGATGGACGCATCTGATTTATTGCCGCTGCTTGAGCAGCTGGACGATCATGTTGATGATCTGGAAGAAGCTCTGGAGCCTGTCCTGAATAGTGCCATTACTGACACGTCAAAGAAACTTCCTGTGTTGGACAAGGCAAAGTTTCACGTTCTGATTACTTACGCTTTGGAATCTCTCATATTCTGTACGGCGATCTCGGTCCTGACAATCGCTCATTGACATGCTAACGCACTCGCAGCTTATCTACGTCTCCATGGCGTCAATGCTAAAGAGCATCCTGTGTTCCGAGAACTAACCAGAGTGAAGCAATACTTTGAGAAAATTAAGGCGCTAGAAGCAGAGCCAGAGCAGCGGACATTGACACTTGACAAGCAGGCTGCAAGTCGCTTCATCAAACATGGTCTTGTATGTGCTTTTTACTCTTTGATCACGTGTACCCTAATGCTAACTTTATAAGGCCGGAAATGACAAATTCGACATGGAGCGCAAAGAGCAACAAGCGAAGGAGAAGGCGCGTGCCCAGTTGAAGGCATCCTTATTAGCCAAGAAGGCAGCTGCAGCAGCACCTGGGATCTCTTCAAAGAAGTCTGGGGCCGATTCTGAATCTGGTTCAGACAGTGAGTCCAATAGTGAAGAAGCGAAGGCAACAACACAGTCCGGAGATTCCGCGAAGAAGAGCAAAGAGAACAAAGTAGACAACACCGTTAAACGTGCATCTGCTAAGAACAAGAAAAAGCGCAGTAAGGACAATCTCCAAGATGAGAAGAAGGAACGGAGAAAGAAGAAGCAAGAATCCCGGAAAGCAAGGAAGGCACAATGAGCAACTTCAAATACTGCACCAGATCGTCCGACAGGGTCGAAGAGGAACATATTGTATCTTAGGTATGATCGGCTGGTTCCGATCTTTGAGTTTGCCTTGGAGTCTCGATGAGCCTTCATTTTCGCAAATGCGTGCGTCCCAGCACTGCTGTGCTTCTCTCCAGGTATATATTGAAGGCGCTTCTATTGTATTTAACAATGGCTGCCTCATCCCATTATACCGCTTGGGGCACTCTGTTGCGATATACGTATCTACATGTACGAACTATGTGGGTACCTCAGACACCGCGCACACAAGTCACAGGATGAACCCTGGCTCGTGTAGCGAGTGATCTAACAATGGTCTATTGAGAATATGCCTGAACTGGCTTGTTTCATCGGACCAATCTCCAGGAAAACTACTTAGTTGACTAAATAGATTAAGTGGCAAGTTGCATTTCTGAATCTCTTGAGCTATTTCCAATGCCGTAAGCTTGAATCATAGGAGCGACTCAACCTCTAAGTTGTGGGCCGCATAGAGAGATATAAACATGAGTCATGAACGATTGCTGTGTCTATCGAAGTCATGACCACATACTAGAAATGTGAATATTCCAGTATGTTCCTTATATATGAAGAGTCATCCGGTGTAAAAATAGGTTCCTAAAGTCCGCCGGACTTTAGGCAATGGGGAGGAGCAGCGGTATCACCAGTACAGCAATTACTCATACACTCTGGAGGAACAGGACGCTACCCGCAATACCGTGTGTAATACTAATACCGCACATGGTTTTCGCCGTCCCGGAGACACCCTGTGGATCGTCGGGCCAATCGGGATGGAGGAAATAGCGATCGGACTTTTCGACAACTTCTCCGCCGTGTCTTCTTTACTATATAACCGTCCGTTCGCCATCAAACAGCTCTCCATCCCCACCCATCAACATCTTTTCGTTTTTCCAACTCCTAGAACCACCGCTACACTAATCAACATGCCTCGTCAACGCCGTGGTGCCGCTCCTGCCCCTACCCCTGCGCGCAGCGCTCCCACCAGGCCTACCGCCGCTCCCGCCAGACCGGCCGCTGCTCCCTCGGCCCAACACTCCCAGCCTCACTCGACTGCTGCTCACCCCCAGTCGACTCCCCAGCAGGCCTATCCTCACCCTCCTCCCCAGGCTGCTCCTGTACAGCAGAGCGCCGGACCCGGCCTGTTCGGCCAGATGGCCTCGACCGCTGCGTAAGTTCCCCTCGGACTTCTATCAAAAAAACGTCTTTGGCGGAGGATAGTGAAAAACACAATACAACCGCCTAGACCACAAAACAGCATTCCCTTCACATAATGAGAATGAAGGGAACAAAGACAAGAAAAGACAAGAAAAGAAAAGAAAAGAAAAGAAAAAGCTAACATCAACTAGTGGTGTCGCAGTCGGCTCCTCCATCGGCCACGCCATCGGTGGTCTCTTCAGCGGTGGTTCCAGCGCCCCCGCCGAGGCACAACAGGCAGCTCCCGCCCAGGCCCAGCCCATGGACACCGGACTGTGGCAGAGCAACACCGCCAACAGCTCCTATGGCAACCCTGCCTGCGAGACGGACGTTCGCAACTTCCGCCAGTGTATGGACGAGAACCAGGGCAACATCAGCATTTGCGGATGGTACCTGGACCAGCTTGTATGTTTCCCCTTGGAATGCCGATATCGGGTGGTTATCACGGGTGCTAACTAGTATTACAGAAAGCTTGCCAGGCCGCTGCTAAGCCCTACTAAAGTTAATGTATTATGTTTCGCGCTGGGGATATATTAAGGACGGGAATTCTGGATTTGAACCGGTTCAGTTTGCGCACTTGATCAGGACGGTGCGATGATTGGATTGGATATGGACTGTGTTTGCATAGCGGCGTAATATTCCTCTACTGTATACCACTTCCGTCGGGGTTGACCTGATGACTTTTCTTTGTTTACCTTATATTTACACACTTCCATCTGCTCAAAAGATAGAGCCAGATGAATATCTAAAGACAACTATTCCACTCTTCCATAGTTTTGGCTGTCCTGAAACTACTGAATGGGCCTACATTGCGCAGAAAACGAGCACAGTTATAGTCCAGTATACATATTGGTCCCCCTCACATTTGATAGCGAAGGATGACACGTCCCTTGCTAATATTACCTAAAGAGCCCGCGCAACGTTATAGCTGTCAACACAACAGATGAACCCGGCCACGACCTCAATTAAGCAAGAACTGTAAACACCGTAGGCTTAATTTACATCAACTAGCTATTACCGCTCTGGTCACCTACCGGTGTCTTGTCTTGGCTCGAAGTTAAGCTATGCAGGTCAGTGGATCCACCTACGTTATGGTCTTAGACTAGCCGCGCTGTTTAAATTACGTACCTGGTTTCCATTGTAAAATTGGCTATCATTATGTTCATTGCGTTGGTCTCTCAGTGTCCGGATGATAGGACCTCTCGATGCAGATGGCCGTGGTCTGGATGCGCTGTCGCCAGACGGAGACGCGGAGGATGTGCTGGCTTGGGGGCTCGCAGACGGAGCCAAAGCTGGTTGACCATAGCCGAAGAAGGACCCTACGAGACCCGTGGCGGTGCCCACCGCAGAGGAAACAAGTTCATATGCAGACGATACAGCCCGGCTGGTAAGCTGGAACCAGTGGCCGAATAGGCTTCTGTATATGTATTGATTGGAACCATGACCAAATTCGCCGTGGAGCCCAGCCCGAGCTCTGTGAGCGTCTGTTCTTCCTCGGCGATAGTAAGCGTCCGATTCGGCAGGGGAGTCAGAATGTGTTTGAGATTATATGGGCGCTTTTCGTCACCAGGCTGGCTGTCAATCCAGGGACGGACATCTCCGCGGATGGTTTGTGAAGGTGAAAAGCTGGACCGGATAGAACTTCCATCGAACAGACGGACCTGAAGTCGATATTGTTTGGGTGGTGTTGGTGTTTGTGGTTTGCGGTCCTCTGCGGGCGTGTTGGTGATTTTGACGGATGCACTATTGTTCGTAGCTTTTGCTTCTGGTTCCTTCTGCTTTTTTGTGCTATCCTTGGGTTTGCCTATTCCCTGCGGTTTCAGCGTTTCTTGCTTCTTTGGCCGGGGTTTCGGTGTTTGGCTAGGTGTTTCAACTCTATATGTCCTCCCGCCGGCACGTAGACTATTATATTCCTGTTGACCTTGTTGCCTTTGTGATCCACTTCCTTGCGGCTCAGATGAAGCTGGCGCTGGCGTCGAAATAGCAGCGGCAGGAGCTGGTGAAGGCTCAGGCTGGGATGCAGCCACGGGCGCTGTATGAGAACTGGAGGATGGATTCGTAGTATGGCCCTGGGCACCTTGAGCCGGCGAGTTCGGACTAAGCTGACCAGTTGGTTTACTGTCCTCTAGAGCAGCCTTCAGCCGACTATGAAAGTCATCCTTCGAGATATCCGGCACAAGATATTCCCGCAGCATTCCATTCCTACACAACCGTCAATCAGAAACCCAATAACCATAATGCCTGTGAAGGTCTTCACACATACTTGATTACCACAACAGCAGGAAACGACGTTACGGGACAAAAGGACGTCAAGAACGTAGCTTCCTGGGAATCCTTAGTGAGTCGCAACAGGACAGATCTCGATTCGAGTAGTTGTGCGAACTATGTCCCACCAGCGATTAGCGATCACGTACGAAAGGAAACTAGAAGTCGAGCCGGGGCAAATACACACATCCTTGTCAGCGAAATAATCCTCTTCCCAGAGGTCACTTGTTTGATCATTATCTGTTGAAATGCATCCAGCTGGTTAGCAAGTGGATAACGGTGGAGCTCATCTGATGTATGTATCGATGTATGCGTTTGGAGAAATCGCAACAGACACACCTCGAACAAAGCATATTACCGCTTTAGCTTGCGAGACCGCTAAAGCGATACCTTCCTGCAGGGTTCCAGAGAAGAACATTGTAACCTCGCGCGGTTAAGACCGATGTATGAAGTATGGAGCGTAAGTAAAGCGAGAGCTTTAACTCCGTCGGGGAAAAGAAGGCCGTTGCCGATCACGAGCCCCTCGGGATTCAATTCGATCTCAGTTCGAACACTTGAATCGTTCTTTTTCTTACACACTTTCCGCCGCCCAGACTAAAACAGCAATTGGCTCTGCAATAAGGGCAAGTGAAGCCCCTCGTCCAAATTGAGCATGCGGTCGATCTTTTCGGTCCTGCAACGGACTGCAGCAACCTCATGGCAGCCGCCAATCGCCGCGTCGATTCGGGGTCCCCGGATGGCGTTCAAGCTGGATTCGATTTGCGCCAGATGCCGCCGTCAACAGATCCGGTTTTATAACAAGCAGCTGGCCGACGATCCGCGATGGTTGTCGGTTGTGGATCAACCTGCGCAAATTGTTCGTACCGGTCGAAAACACGGACCGGGTTTGATCATCTTAGGTATGGTACAACCATGGAAGTAGCTGCTGGTAAAGGCTGGCAGGATACTAATGAAATGTATTCTCATTACAGCTCTAATTCCTATTATCTCGTTCGCGCTCGGCACTTGGCAAATCCAACGTCTCGATTGGAAGACCAAGCTGATCGCAAAATATGAAGACCGACTCGTCAGACCTCCTCTTCCGCTGCCTCCCCAGATCGATCCAGACGCCATTTCCGAATTCGATTACCGACGGGTCTACACTACGGGCCGTTTACGACATGACCAAGAGATGCTCGTTGGTCCTCGCATGCGCGAGGGTGAGGATGGTTTCATCGTTGTAACGCCGCTTGAGAGAGGGGAGGGAGAAAGCACTGTCCTGGTGAACAGAGGCTGGATCTCGAAAAAGATGAAGGATCAGAAGGACAGGCCCGAGGGTCTCCCCCAGGGAGAGGTCACGGTCGAAGGCTTGCTACGGGAACCTTGGAAGAAAAACATGTTTACACCGGACAATAAGCCCGAGGACGGAAAATTCTACTTCCCTGACGTTGAACAGATGGCTGAGCTTACTGGTAGCCAGCCGGTATGGATTGAAGAGACTATGAGTGAGCCTGCCCCTAGCACGAAGGTTGACATGACCAAAATTAACCTCTTTAGTTGCGGACATGGTCGAATGGTATAACAGAAGTGGAAAGGGTATCCCTATCGCTCGCGGCGCTGAAGTGAACTTGCGAAACAACCACAGCCAGTACATCTTCACATGGTAGGTTTCCTATGAATGACCCAATATCCTACCAGCGGAAACTGTGGCTTACCATAAGTAGGTACGGGCTGTGCTTCGCAACATCGATCATGTTGTGGATGATCGTACGTAAAAGGCCCAATGAGGCGACTCGTCGTGTTCGCCATAATGTAAATTGGTGATATCCGTTGACATCTTTCGTGTTTGCAACTATTGGTGGCGTTCGGTTTTTTTACGGAATCCGTACCATGTATATTATTCATGGAGGCATTGACAATCTCATGTCCTGCAGCAGTTCCCTCGGTAAATGCTTCGATGCCAGAGAGAAAATACTCGTAGAGTTGTTAATATGGCGTTGCCTAGAAAGTTGACGAGTCAGCATAACTATGGTGGAAGGGTTTGTCCCAGCTCACCGTCTCATCAAAGTAACAACATCACTCTCATCAATCGTCTTCCGTCCCGCATGTTTGGAATATGCCGCTAGATCTTCAGCGACCTGCTCAAAATACCACGATGACGCTTGCTCAATAGCAGCTAATGTGGCCTTGCTGATCTTAGCTTTAGAGCCAGCCCTCGCTGGCGCAAATCGCGTAGCCAACTTTCGAACCACCCCCGACGGCATGTTGGGCACAGGGATGCCGTATCGGGAGAGTTTCTTTTGCTTTCCCTGCACTATAACAGTGTCTTCGTCACGCAACCCTCCTCCGACGATACCAGGGCTTTCGCTTAGAGAGACGCGAGATGGCATGTGGAGATCCAGGCCAAATTCACCGGCTGTGACAGCAGCAGCATCATCATCATCATCATCATCACTGTCGTCAAATACGGGGGCTGTGTCCTGGGCCAGATCAACGGGCGAAAGCTCGAACCCTTCATCATCGTTGAGGGGTCCGTCCATGTCATCAGCCTGAGGTGGAGGCGGGGATGGGAAGTTGAAGTCAAAGTTGAACCTCCCAAGGTCTTCCGTCTCTCCTCTTTGTCTATATTAGCCATTATAATCCAAATCCGTCCGGAGAATACCACCCACCCTCTATCAAAAGCACCTCGACTCATAACAGTTTCGTCCTGGTTCACTCGGTCTTCACCATGCTCGATACCTGTGTCATCACTATTCTCCGAGTCGCTTTCCAACCGGGTCGCATCACCAAAGTTCTCACTTAATCGAGGGTTACCGAAACTCATCATAGATAATCTCGCTCTATCGTGTTCGCTCGTAGCCCGTCGGGGGTATTCAACCGTGATATCCTCTTCTTCAAAGGCCAAGGAGAGCCTGGGTGGACGTGGCTCGGGACTCGCCTCCTCCTGCTCCTCTACTTCCTCTAAAGGCAAGGACAATCGGGGGCGTTCAATCTCCGGTTCGTTGTCGAGCTCTTCGATCTCATCCTTCTCCAGCTCCGGCCCTGGTTCCGGTTTTTCTTCTTGCGGTGATGAACGAATAGGCTGTGACACGGGCGCAAGAGCTGATACCTTAATTTAGTATGCATTTTATGCACTCATAGCACGCAAATCGCACGCATATGATATGACTCTCTTGGCTCACATACCTCTACCGAGATTCCGTAGAATATCAAATGTCGTCTCCCTCTGCATCCGTCCACTTTTCCTCCGATCACGCGCAGGTGTATTTGCCGCTCGGCGCTGCATCGCCCGTAATCCATATGGCGTTGATGGAGCAGCTCCAGCTCTGTTGCGTGGCGTTCGTCGCGACGGCGTTCCTGATGCTGCTAACCGGCTGGGGGTGAGGGGGTATCTGGTATGGATGGGAAGACGCTGAAGCTGCAGCCGTCCTCTGATTACTATATACAACTTTAAGTATAATCAGGCCCAGTGTACTCACCCCCGTAAGTGTGGTATCTCCTACAGGAGTGAAGGACTCGGAGATGTCGGACTTTCGCAGTGACCGGCGGCCACGCGGCTTAGGGGTCGTAGACATTTGTACTGATATGGGATTATATGAAAGAATTGCTTCCTAGATTATTATGACAAATGGTCGCACAGGATTGGACATGTCATTGAGAAAGTCTGAAGATGATTAGGCATCGGCGCATGTCCCAAATTCGCAAGAGGGGTTTTGTTGTTCTTCAGTGGAAAGCGCGTAGTCGATGACATGGAGTTGGAGTGTCATTGGCGTGGCTTATCGATAAGCCAGCTGACTCAGCATAAAAAAAGTTGCTACGGACCAAGTCTTGCTACTAGAATGATAATCGAATTCTAACCATTGAATGTTTTGTTCTTTTCATTCTTAGGAAATCTATAGAGATACTAAGGCGCCATGTCTGCAGACACGGCAAATCCATCCGGCCTCTCGGCCAAGATCAATAACAAGCGCAAGAGGCAAGCGGAGGAATCCTCGAAACAAACCGAGGCGGCTGCTGGCAACGCAGACGGTCCGAGTAACAAGAAAAAGAAGAACGGCAAAACCAAGCCCAAGAAGGGTGGAAAGGACAAGAAGGATAATCCCCAGCCAGATGCATTAGAGAAGGAGCAGAGAGACACCAAGCAAACCGAGACCAAAGGCGGCATTGATGAAGCTATTGGCAAGATGGACGGCCGCCTGTTGGCAGATCATTTCATGCAGAAGGCTAAGCGCCACAATAAGGAGCTGACTGCCGTCGAATTGAGTGATCTTAGTGTTCCGGGTATGTTATTGCCAAACTCAAGGACACGCCTTAGTGCTAACGATCCAAGAATCCTCATTCCTCGACACATCATCGTTTGACTCGCCTAGACAACTGGAGAAGCTACCAGCTTTTCTGAAGGCTTTCAGCCCTAAAGGATCTGACCTCTCGAAACCGTCAGAGGAGAAAGGCACACCGCACACCCTGGTTGTCTCCCCATCTGGACTCCGAGCAGCTGATGCAGTGAGGTGAGTTACAGCCAATGAGCGCTCTATCTACTGGATGGATCCGTGCTGACCATTTCGCTGCAGAGCCCTCCGTACATTCCAAACCAAAGAATCTCCAATTGGTAAGCTGTTTGCAAAGCATATCAAGCTGGAAGAAGCCAAGAAGTTCCTGGAGCGATCACGGTATGTTTTGCACCCGTTGAATTTCCTTGTACTTCAACTGACTTTCCTTAAGCATTGCCATTGGAGGCGGAACACCTGCTCGTATCTCCGACTTGATGGATGCTGGTATGGTTACCTCACATTCGAGTGATTAAAGTAGGCTAGACATGTGCTGACTTCTACAGGCTCCCTCAAACTTGGCGAGCTACAGCGTATCGTGATCGACGGATCCTATGTTGATCAGAAACAGCGTGGTATCTTCGACATGAAAGAAACCCATCTTCCACTTTTGAAGTTGCTCACGCGGCCCGAGTTTCGTGAACGGTATGGGGTGGAGGAGAAGCGGATCCAGATCCTCGTCTTTTAGCTTCTTACAATGATGTATAATGTGGTTGGCGTTAATCAAGGCTGGGTGTTAGATCTTTTGTCGTCTGCTATTCCGGGTAGTGATACCCTACATGCATCTTTTTGCCCATTGGTATATTTGCATCGTATAACTGTTTTCTTTTATACATTGACAAATATGAACTTTGTAGTTTCGACCATTTTTGTTTATCTTGAACGGTCAGTTTAAGCCTATGGTCAATCTCATGAACTGCACATATAGGCAAGTCTCTATCTCCCGTCTATCAAATTACTCCTGCGGATTGCAATCAACTTTTGTTCTACACCAGCCCCAGGTTCGCTGGTCTTATGACCCTTGTATTCATAAGATGATGCTATTGTTCAGACTATATGCTAAATATGCGAACCCATATGCCATGACCCACCCACCCAATGTACGCCAGTCCTTCTCTATATACAAATCTCATGGTACAAAATCAGGGCTTATAACAAGCGGACGTTGCTGCCAGATATATCCCCATAAAGCATAGTCGCAATGGATGGAATAAATGGGAAAGAAACAAAGCAAAAAGAATAAGATATCACACATGCAAGTAGACCATAGTAACGAAACATCGCAGAACCGGATGCGTGCTTGAGCCAGATGGTACGATCGTGTTGCAAGGTCAGCGAGGCAAAGTTATATGCAGATGGAGATGGTATCAAGCGGTGAACAGAAACAACGACCCAGGAACCAGAGGAAAGGAAATTATGTACGAGGCCATAAAAGGATGGCCATAGGCCAGAGACGTAGGCAGCAGAGAAAATCTAAGCCCGAACTCGTCTGGCATCGAAATATTTGAGGTTCACAGCGGTATCATTCACCCCTACGATCGGTGCGGCATCTTCAAGGAGCTCCCAAGGACGTACCGGGTAGGGTCCCATAATACGGCCCCGATATTGGAGGCGAAGATGGCTGGCAACGCAATTAATGCCTTCTGAAAGACTAACTGAGGAACCTGCAGGGGTCATAGCAGGTGTTTGTGGGTTAGATGGAGCGCCCGGCAGGGCGCCCGACGGTGTTGGAGTTGGAGTAGAACCACCGGCGGCAGGTGATGGAAGAGAAGCAGCTTGCAAGCTATTCAGTGCTGCTGCATCGCTCATGGGACCGAGAAGGTAGATAAATCTCGAGTCATTCTGATACTGAAGAAAGGGTGGGCACTTTTCTTTGAGGAAACGGGCGCAATGTTGCCGAGCCTCATCCGGGAACGTGTCGATCAGTGAGGCTGCGACGTCTAATGCATGGGTCTGAAGCAGAATTCCGGGACAAGCACGGCAGCCCTGAGACGGTATTGGGTGAGGGAAATAGTCAGTTGCCGGGAAAAGACGTATCACGCTGTCTGGAAGGCGTGCAAGGGATATGCAAAGAATCGAGATTAGCAAACGAGACTGTTCCTGCAGGCCGTTGGGCTTAGGCGCAGGGGATGGCATAGTGAATGCAGAACGGTGAATCACAATCATCCGTAGGAAAGCAGAGAACCAGAAAGCGAGAGCCCTCTCGAAGTTTGAGCGGGACTGAAGAATTTGAGTCGTAGCCGCGCCGTGTCTATTCGCGGTGACATTGTTGAAATTGGTTTGCATGATAACAAGCCTGTGGAGAAGTAGATCCATTTTCTCGACGAGAACGGGAGCCACAGACTGTACACCAGCTTCGGGCACACTGTAAGCAAGCTTCTCAATTATTGTCAGGTACAGCTTTGCTGTCTCCAAGGACTTGGCATTGCCCGAGGGTCCATGGGCTTCAAGGTGTTCTTCGAATAGTGGGATAGAAAAGAGAGCTCTTTCAGCTCGCTCCCGAATCTAAAAGAAGAAAGTTAGCTTAGGAGGAAAGCGTTGGAGTGATACTGGCGCTTTCGTACCTGTCTTATTACGTCTTGGCTCATGAGGCCTACGAAACCAACCCAATTCGATCCTTTCGAGCGTGTATCTTCCACAGCAGCCTTGAACATCACGTCAACGATACCGTTACCCACATTACGGCCAGATTCTGCATTGAAAAGCATTTGGAGTTTCAACTGGCAAAAAGGAAGGGAGAAGTCATCAGTCATGCGGACAACCTTCTCTGCTTCGGACATAGTAGGTGGACCTTGGAGGTATGATTAGCAATATGAGCAACTGTCGAAGTTCGCTTTACTAACCAGCGAGTGAGTCAAAGCCCAACAGGCTATCCAGAGCCCTTTGCAGGACGGTTGTTGACGTTGAGTATTTTCCAATAAAGCCTTCCAGACAGTATTGGACCGTAACTTCAGGATTCTGTGTAAGAAGGATATCGAGCAACTCTATTGCACAACCTGCGATGTCGGGCTGTCTTGAATCGAGTCCAGCCTTTGAATCAACCAATGCAACTGCATCGCAAATTATATCGAGGGTCTCCTGAGGGTGCTTCAAAAAAAACTCTTGTTGTGCAACATGAAAACGGTATGTGACCTGAACAAACAAGTTTAGTGCTGCGTTCTAGGAGAATATGAATAGTTGACGTACCAAGTCAGCATATTTACTTTTTCCTGATATTAGAGGAACAAGAAGCTGAAGCAGTTCCACCCGCAACCCAGTCAGGTTGGGAATTACAGCAGCCACCTTTTCCGACTGCAAAAGCTTTTTCACCAAAAACACAAAAGCATGTATGGTGACGCAGCCAACTCCGATGAGAGGAGGGAGGATTCGAGACATTGACGGGGTAGAGGACTTCAGAAGTCCACATATCCAACGAATCAGCATAGTATCGAAATGCTTTGGTTGGAACGGCCGCAGATAAGCCAGATACCTAGCGGTTTCATTTGCTGACAGTTTTGCAGGACTGCCGCTACTTTCTAGTATATGTATAAGCGAATAGAAGACCGCATCCATCGTGGATTCGTCCATGCCACTCCCAGACGAGAGGAGCTGGTTCAACTTTGCTTGAAATGAAGGATCGACATCACTGAGCGCTAGGGGAATGCTATCTGAAAGCGGGGATGGCGCTGCCAAAGCTGACTTGCTCTCTAAGCGAGTAAGGTCCTGGCGCAAGAGAGCAACGGTGTTGAATTCACTAGGTATTCGGAGCCCTAACTCGATGAGTGAAAACAACAGGTCCAAACTTGCATTGCCTAGTCTTTTGAGACGAGCATACGACTCAACAAGGCCCCTAAAAAGATCAGCTGTAGCGCCAATTACACAGAAGCAGTCAAAATGGCAATTGACCGTATCGGCAACGGAAGCCAGGACAACATCGTCATCACAACGAGTAGCTTGTTTTAGTATGTCTGCTAGCATCGAGAGATCACCGTAAGTCTCTAAGATCTCCCTGACACTGTAGAATTCGTCGGGAGTAAGGGCGGATACGCCTGGGTCCACCATCACAGAGACCCCAGAGAGTTTCCTGTAGTTGTTAGCTGGGGTAGTACTCGTAGGGAGCAGAGAAGCGTACCTAGGTGAGTCGCGGTAATGCCCAGCAACTCCTCGGCGAATCCACTGTCCGATTTCAGATTTGACAGCCCAGGTGGGATTGGCCTGTGATGGTTCGATGGGCATTGCACTGCCCATCTCAGCGCCAAAGATATTGGGCAGTCGTTGAGCAATTGATAACTTGAGCTCTGCAATGGCAGAGTCCTCCTCCATCACCGGGATTCCAGCCCGGTAAAGGAGTGTATTGCGTAGGTTACGCACATGCTCTGGGAGGCGATTGGCCGGCAGTTGCTTTAGGAGACAGAGGTCACTCGATACGGGCTGGGACGTATTTGTGACACCTTTTGCCATCAGCCATTGCAGGTACCTACCTACAGAGAATGTCTGAGATCTGACTAGCTCCGAAATAATATGGTAGATGTTTTCCATGTTTAGAGCGCTAGTCACTCGAACATCAGCGAGGAAAGAAAGGATATATGAATCAACGTCGATCCCAGACATCTTCCACTTGCGCAGAAGACGGACGCCTGTATATACACGGCAAAGACCATAGCGGAACGGTGTAGCTGTCCACTCGAGGAGTTTGGAAATGAGAACAGCCTTATCCTCTAGCGTTTTCAGGCATGCAGCCGAGGCGGAAGAGATATCGTGCGCGGAGCGGATGGAGTCGAATAGCTGAATGACACGCTGTTGTGGTGACCGTTCAGCTGTCCCTTGGTGGTTCTTGGGTAGCTGCAACCGCGAATTGCGCTCGCAGAGGTTCTGGTAAATTGTTTTATGGACAGTGTCTTTGAGGTTTAGGCAGGAAGATATAAGCTCCTTGTGTTTTTCCCATGAGCCTGGGAGGACCACAGATGAGGTATGCTCGAGAACAAGCCTCCTGACATACAGAGATAATCGATCTATGAGGGGCTGTAATGCACCAACCTTTTCCGGCTGAGTGACCTGCTGTCCCATTAATAGGATATTAACCATCAATACCAGTGCACTTACCTGACGCAACTTCTCAAGCAGCAATTCGGCTAACCGCCGCCCACGCTTCCGATATCGTATGATATTATCCCAATAGATACCAAGCATCAGCAGCCAAACGGGAACAGTATTGACCGGCGCGGCTTCTAGCGAGGACAAAAACCATCCAAGGTACTGGTCGTGGTCTAGCAGACGTTCAAAGAACAAGCGAGCAGTTAAGCTCACCCTATGAACCGTTAGCACTCGAATTACACGAACACCAAGTTGAATACATACGCATATGTCATCTTCGTTTTCCATTGTGCAGAGCCGCAGGCACCTAGCACGCCTTCCAAGAACTGCTGAACGGTTGCTGTCCAGTCACGGACCCATTTTGCTTCCAAGCCCAGTGCTAGTGTGCCACTCGTTCCTTTCCTCTTGAACGCACGGATCTCATTTGCACCGACACACTTTGCAAGCCACACAGCTCGGCTAACTGGGATACCTTTGTTTAAGCATTGGTCCAGGAGTGCCTTTCCCCGGATACCATGAGGAATCGTTCGGCTCAACTTGCGCAAAGGAACAGACGGGTTAGCTAGGTCACGGAGCCATGCCTCGCGTTTATTATCTGTTAGGGTTACTCGCGGAGGTGGCTTAAAGGTCGACGGCACAGTCACCAAGCTATGGTTTTGTCTCTTTTCAAGAGCCGCGGCAAAAACGGAAGAGAGCATCTGCAGACCGGAGCGGTGCTTCAACTGTGCGTATAACGAGGGTCGTGCGGTGTTTGACTCGTTCTGAGATACCTGAGTACGGTCATAGTGTCCCTGCTTTGCCGTTTGCTCGTTTAGAACATCTTCCGGGTGGTTCCCAGTCCATGGAGAGAAATCCGCAACCTCTAACGTTTTGGTTACCGGTCAAAGGGGTCCCGTGATTTGTATAGCCGTTTTGAGAGGATAACTTACTTTCTCCTTTGAGCACCGGTGCAACTGAGGGAGTCTCGATACGATAGGGGACCGTCTGCACCTCCTTCACGGGTGAACCAGCTCGTGACAAGGTGGGATTGGCTCCCAGCGACTCCGGAACATACTTCCAAGGCAAAACTGGTAAAGAGGGTGGCGATGCAGGCTTCCCACCCTGCGCGACAGATGTCGCATCTTCCTCATTCATCACATTGCTCCCCGGCACCTCGGACAGCATAGCCTGGAAGGACCATACCGGCCGATTGCGCCAAGAAAGTGAGGGGGGCTTTAAGCCACCCGTTCCTGGTGTGCTTCTCAGCTCTCCAGCGCTTCCCGGCACAGGACTCGCATCTCGGGCAGAGGGTGCCGCAGGTAAATCCAGCCTAAGTCTTTTTGGCGGAGGTTCCACCTCTTGCGCATCACCACCGCTCGTTGTAAGGTCGATGACTGCCGGCTGTCTGGGTTGCGGCTGCGGTACAGGTGTTGGTAGCTTCTCGAACTGAGGGTCGGGCGGTCCCACGGCTTGAGAAGCATCAACATGTCCAGAGCCGCTGTTGACGGCGCGCAGGGGATGACCCCACGATTGGACGCCGGCAGAAGAATGAGGTATCATCTCAGCTTCATGGTGTATCACCGCGCCGGAGGTTGGTCATTGGAACAGCAGAACAAGGCCGATCAACCGGACTGAACACGCGCAAACGGTCGTCAGCGACTCTCTAAAACAACCGAGATATCCCAGCTCCGTTTATATGCCTCCTACCAATCTGTTACCGGAAGGACGTCGGGAAATGCACGGTGAGCGGATAGAGTATTTAAAGGTCGGGAAATAATCGGTGCGGATCAAGTAGGGGCGGGAAAGTCTGCACAGAGGGCCGCGAGGCACGCGAACGAAGGGTCGAGGCGGGAAATTGATTGAAGAAGGACAAAGTAGAAAAGAAAGAAGAACACCAAGAAGGAGAAGGGCGAGGGAATTGGGGGAAAAGCCGAGTACGGCGAACGATAGGGAAGATCTTCAGATAACGTAAGGAAGGACCAACTGGCAGTCCGTCTTTTTTGGGTATCATCCGTACTACATACATACATACATACATACAATGGGACAGTCCGGAGTTATGGGACCGTCTGGTACTTACTAGTACTAGAACTAGTAAGAAGTGGTCCTACAGTAAGGGGAGGGGCGGACTGAAGTGTACCGGATGACGGGTAATTAACGCGGGATTGGCACAGTGTGGGTGAGATAAACATGGATCCATTACTGGCGTAATACCGGATGCCGAATGCGTCTTAAGCTTGAAAGCTGATTGTCCGTACTTTTTAACCTTATTGGGAGTCTCAAGAGAGATTCATGCAAATCGAATTCTGATCGCTCAAGGGTTCGTTGTTTCTTTGTCTGTTTCTCATTTCATTCCCTTGACGGGTGATATAGTGTTTAATAGCCTGGAGTCAGATCCTTAAGGAATGATGAAGAGGTCGCCTGGCAGGTGTACGATTGCTAAATTATTCTTTCGGTACTGTATGTATTCCTTTTCATACCGGTGACCTCCCCATGAAGCTGCATCAGATTTTACCCGCATAACTGCCAGTGTTATATTATATATCCATTATCCACCCGGGGTGGGTTCCAGACCTATTTTTTAGGGGGTGGGAAATCAAAAATTACACACAGGTAATAAGGCAATAGGAGCAGACGGCACTAATGAATCGCCGGAGACGATACTAGTATTACCCAACTAAAAAAGGGTCATCCTCGGATTCTCCGGCACATCGATGGGGTCTCTTGGCAATCAGATGATGGGTCCCATATTGCCCCATTCTCGAAAATCGGGGATATCTTATGGAACAATGTTGAGTAACTAATTCCGAGAATGATGGCATTGACAAAACCTTCTTTGCCTCTTGGGAGTTCATTCAAGTCTGGGACATTGGCCGATATTGGGTGGACGTAATATTTCTCCCAGCTCGTCATCCACCCGTATGTACATACTGCACGTACATATACTATCTGTAGTAGCCTGGACGTACCGGTACACCCGTATAGCCTGCAGTGATACCAATGATTTGCATCTTCATTCGGGGATATCGACTGGCCCATAGAACAGTTGGTCAGACAGCCTGCGCATCAAGCGAATGATATCCCATGGATTCTGTCTCCCAATACTCTCAATACTACTACGAGAAACCCAATTCCCCTCCCGTCTCTCAGTTCCACCTTCTGGTGGTGAGAAGCAGCCGCCGATCCATTCCTACCAGACTCCGCCACTCGCTCTGGATGAGCCATCAGATACTACTTAATTCCTCCTCCTCCGCATGACAATCCCCCAATGTGGCATGATATGGTTGTCTGATTCACCCTTCTCCCCGCATTTCCACTGTGATATGTCAAAAAGGCTGGTTTTATTGTGCGTATTGTATTGTATTTTATCTCATTTATTGATTTTTCTTTATATCTTTATGATGGTAAGGTTTCTTCTTCGTCTTTCTCCCTCTCCTACACTACTATCAGAGCCCTGCCTGGTAAAGCTTAACGGATGTAGTTGATCAATGCTCTCTCTTTCCATTGCTGATGCCTGAATGCCATCGGACACCCACTCTCAGTCACCGCTTATGCCAATAGTATTACCGAACATCCCTGACTGCAGTGCTCACTGGATCGTCGCACGAATACACCCTAAGTACTCGTAGTAGACAAACACTTACACGCTGTAGCTGCATCAAGACCTAGAATTTTTAGCATATCAAGCAAGTATGCTGCAATTACGCCAGGCTACCATGGATCCGTGCCATACTGATGTGCGATTGGATGTATACACAAGTACACCAGGAATGGATCCAATTAGAATAGGACTTGGCTAACTGACACCAAGGAGTGCTTTGCAGAGGTGGACGACCAACCTACTAGTAGTAGTTGAAAGATGTTTGCTTTTTCGGAATAGGGTTGTTCGAGCCAATCTCTGTTTCATCTGTCCCCTACACTTGATTCAGCCCATGGTTGTGCTTCCGGGGGTTTGTTCATTGAGCAAGGATGACTTCCTTTTGGACGTTGTATATCATGGTTTTCATTCTTTCCTTTTTAATTTATGTTTGTGCCCAAAATATGTTGGAGTGAGAGATAAGACAGCTTTACGAGTCCGAGAGCAGGGAAATCAAACCCCCTCTCAATTCTTTTTTTTCATCTTCCCCTTGTCGGTGTGCATTACTACTAGTATCTAGGTACATACTACATAGAAATTTGTGATGGTTCATTGTGACGGGAGATAAAGAAGATAAAGCCGAGTGACCAATCGATCGACCGCCGCTTTAGCCTTGGCGCCAACGACCGCTTGGCTGGCAAGTTCGTCTTTCTCCCAGCGTCGTAATAACAAGCTGTACAATAGCACCAGTTATTTCCCGTGTGAAGATGGCTTCGAAAAAGGACATGCGGAGGTTGGACCTCGGTGCGTTAATTTCACCATCCTTTCCCACCTCGTCTCATTCGTGACGGTGAGAACGCAGCCACTAATTGCTGTTTTCCGACTTTAGCTATCCCCTATGTCGACCCGCCCGCCAACAAGGATGATGCCGATATGTCTGGTATATTAAATCTGCTACATGGATCAATCGGGGAAGAATGCTTGATTAACGCTCTGGTCCAGGCGCAATGACCAGCACCATGCCCATGGCCGCGGTAGGTTGTCATCCGGATTTCTCATGGCTGCGCGCTTCGGGGATGCTGACAGATTTCGTAGATGTTTACCCGTAACAGGTGAGATAGACTACATCTGTTCACATTGCTAGGGCCATCTATCTGACAACCCTTTGATATCCAGGATGATCGGGTGGTAGGTTGCTTTATTACTATCAGCCTTATAGGTGTCTAACTGGTTTTTAGGGTCTCATTCGTCTTTTCGCTTCAAAATTGGCTCGGCGAAACACCCGATCAGAAAAGCACGGCGTCTACTCCCGCGTATATGTCCGTTTTCATGTCCTGTTCGTCTCCTTTCCCCCTTTACTAAAGGATAAGATAGATACTAACTTCTGATGTGCATATAGTGATGGCATTGGTTGTTGTACGTCTCAAGTTCCCTAACTACCCGCCTTGCCTAAGTGATCGGGCCTGGTACTTACTCATATGGCGCAGACATATTTCCCTATATTCATGCCTCCGCCGGCAGCCCCGGCAGGTGCTGCAACTGCTACCCCTTCCCCATAAATAATGTCGACTGTGTGGCCTTTTCGAGAAATTGAATTGTGATCTTATACCGCCCCATATATTTATTACCTAAGAAGAAAGGGGGTAGGACAGTTTTGAAGTTCAGGATGATACCCAAACTTCCACGTCCATGTGGTCATCGATTTGCCACTGTAGTACATCGTGATCACGTGGCAATGTATCAATAGTTACTCTAATACCAGTCTTGATATTTTGCTTCTGCTTCCGAGTCATGCTGTTTCTTCATATACTGTGGGATTAGATCTGAATGAGGTCATATTTTGATATAGAGGACAATCATATTATAATACAGGTAATAGTAGATCATCTGGCCGATCAGCTGGATGAAGACAACGCAGATGAGTGACCAGGGGCTTAGTCACAGTTTCACCGCCTTCCCCCACAGAGGCGCTAAATCGGGTCGCGCCCCTCAAAAGGCTCTTTCTTCTTCCTCACTTGTCTTCTCCCCAACAACACCTTCATAGTCACCCTTCAGCTCCTCTACGAACGCTCGCGATCGCTACAAGTTACAGAGTTTTTACTCTTACCCCTCGCTTTCATACTACAACCGCTTTTAAGGGCCCGTTTCGAGAAAAGGCCGAGTTTATGTCCATCGAAAACCTCAAGACCTTCGGTAAGCCCATTTGCCACCTCCCCTATGCCCGCTATGACTCCCCCCTAAAGGTGGTGATCGCCCTGGACGAGCAAAGGCGTCGCTATAGCAAGTCTATCGGATGTTTTGTATCACGGATCTGGCCTTGATCATTTGCAGATCGTCTTCATCTACAGATCGGTGCCGCATGGCATTTTTGGCGGGGTAGTCCTGCTTAGGAGCCTGAGGCTGACACGTGCCCCAAACAGACCCCTTCGCCGAAGCTGACGAAGACACCGGCGAGACCAAGCAGTCTCAAAATTATATCCATATACGGATTCAGCGTATGTCCTCCTTACTCTCGTCTCTATTTTCTGGATTTTCTACCTGCCCTTGGAATGTGTTACTGATATCGCTCCTTCACAGAGCGCAATGGTCGAAAAACCTTGACTACCGTTCAGGGTCTTCCTAAGAAGTTCGATCAGAAGAAGATCTTAAAGGTGATCAAGAAGAAATTCGGTAAGTTGCTACTGCGTCGCTACGGTAGAATCACAAGGACCCCCCAACTAACGGATGCACAGCCTGCAATGGCACCATCGTCTCCGATAGTGAGATGGGCGAGGTGATTCAGCTGCAAGGTGATCAGCGTAAAGATGTTCAGGAGTTCTTGACCGACAAGAAGGAGGGTCTCGAGCTGGATGCCAAGACTATCAAGGTCCACGGTTTCTAAAGGAGACGCCGCGCCCCGTTCCGATCCCTTCTTCCCAGTCTACTTTGCCCTCGGAGTGGTTGGATAGAAGGCATGTATCGCCTATCCTTCGTCTTAACTCTGCATTGCACTCTACGCAATTGCAGCATCTAGGTGGTTCGGTTAAGCTTCTTGTCTTTTATATTCAACCCTCTGTGCCCGGCGTACTGGACCTGGGACCCCTGTCGTTATTATGCACTGTCTAATTTTGATCCCTACCAATTGCGATACGCGATTGATGGGAGTGGGTCCTTTGTTGGCTCGACTGCTATACTCGGAATGGGATTATGACGGAACGAGGCGTTGGTAGATACCCAATATATGCATAGATGTTCTTCTGTTTCTTGCCTCATCCCTGTCCTTACTCGGCTTGGAGGAAATACGTGTCGGAAGGTCTGTCATGAGATGGATGTTGTGGAGGGTTGCCTGGGGTGCGAAGGTCAATCTCTGGTTTGCACTTGCGTTCTACGTCTTCCACATGTTGTTTCTGGACTTGTCCTCACAACACAGTCATTTTCAGAATAGGATGTATGCAATGCGATATGCAATCTGCAGTGGATCTTATGAGTACCAATAGGAATACATGTAATAGTTTTCGCGAGTAACAGATCAGAAAACTAGGCCAAGGCTACTTATTGCTTGTGCAGTACTATTTCACATAGTGACCCGTTTCCCCACAGGCATCAATCACAACTCGCGCGGCCCAACTCGATCATTCGCCACACGCATACGAAGGAATATCGCAACAGCCCAATCCCATAATTTCCGAGTGATAACAAAGACGGGGACCTCCGGTTCGTTTTCTCGGGTTAGATGTAACTGAAGCAGAAGTGAGGACATGCTCACGAAACTCGCAACGGAAACAACTAGCAAAGCAGCCGCCGTTTCGCGCTTAATCATGGCGTGGTTTTGGGTGGCATGGTAAAGGAATGTGAGTGTCTCCATGGGGCAAGCAACACGTCAGTCATTCCTCGTTGCAGCGGAGCGGTTGTGGAGTGGCAGACTTACAGTTGTGATGGATATCCAGGCCGGAAGGAGAAGGCGTGGATCTGAAGATGCACCCGAAAGGTAGAGGACCCATGAAGAGATATAAGCAATCAATCCGTTGGTAGTAAGGAGACGAATAACAACAGCCGGCGGGGTATAATTCAAAAGCCTGTAGAATGAATATAAGTCCCAAACTGGGATATATAGAATTAGAGGGGCCGAGACACAAACTCACCATCGAGACATCATACAATCGGCAAAGAAATACGAAAGATAAGCAGATGCACAGCACTAGAGAAGGTATTTGTTAGTTCACAGTTTCGTGGGGATGGTCTTGTGCCTGGACGTTGGGAGCTTCATAGGGTCTCTATCCCCGTAAGCCTCCCACCAGAGAGGCCTATACATACCCACATAATCGCCAGGGCCACCTCAGTCACCCTGAATCTTCTTTCAACATCCCACTCTTGATTGATACTATCGACAATCGCCGCCGTCCACCCCTCATGCCCCATCCCCGCCTGTATGTGGAGCAATTCGGCCAGGAAGGTGAAGGCACACCGAAGCCCCCACCATGCTGCGGGCACCGTGCTCAGTGCCCGACAGATCAGGAGAGGGAGGTACCATTTCCGGTCTACTCCCAAGATGACAGCCACTCGCGGATGCAAAGTGGAGGGAGCCGTTGCGTGACCGGAATCATTGCTGTTGGGGATCTGGGGTGTAGAAGGGTCGAGGGACGGCGGGACGACAGCGGCGGCGGCGGCTGGGGAAGCCACGTCTTTTTTCGTAGGCGTCCGCCGGGAAGTTCGAGATTGAGGCTAAGAGTTGCGAGCGCAAGTCCGGGTCGAGAGTACTCAAACGAGCAACTTCAGGGGGGTATCGGGCGTGGGGAGAGAAGGGCGGGGGAGCATCACGAGGAGGAGCCAGCCTTATGATACGGCATATGCGGCCGTTGCGCAGAAGGATTGAGAAACTAGTGAGAGAGCAAAGACTGGAAGTGATAGGAGTCAATCCTATCGAGGACTATCCCGTTAACAAGGTCGGTTTTTATCGGCGAAGACGACGGGTTGTTGACAACAAGTCAGGTTCCGAGCAGCACAGCACAGCGCACAGTCAGCGACGAGACGACTTCATATGACAGCGATAGATCCGTCCTTCAGGAAGCTGCCGATAGAGTCGACGCCATGACCTAGCGTGCGAATCGGAGAAGCACAGCTGGCCGAACGGGCTGAGAAATGGCGGGCGGAGTTGATATCACGTGAGTCATCCGTCGGGATTTCTTTTGCGGCCTTGATCATTGGTTCTTTTTGACTCGACTCTCAATTCATTCTGCTCGAGGTTCTCGTGGCCTTACTTCACAATGGCATCCTCGCTGTCAAAGGGGCCTGTCTTTACGGCCGTCCGCCTCAATAACGCCGTTTTCCCACTGTACTCATGTCAATGCCGGTTTCTTTCGCAGTCGTCCCAACGCAGTGCCATGCGGGGGATTCCGGAAAACATTGCTATCAAACAACCAGCTCAGCCGAGTATGGCGACGAGGGGGATGGGTCTATCAAGGTCTGAGTTGCCTCAGGATATTGGGTTGCTGCCAGGCACATACGTTCGCCCGCTCTGGAGGGATATGCCTTCGATCTTTCAACATCCGCAGGAGCGTCTGCAATTGGAGTGGCTTTGGTTGAAGTCGGGATTCCAAAATTTCTTGGGGTATGCTGCTGCCTTTCACTGTTCGTTGTATTCTCATCTTTTATGATAACCAAAAACGTGGAGCACCGCGATGCGCGGAAGTGATCTGCTAGGATGGGCGCAAGAAACTAACTGGCGGACAGTCTTGTTGCTTATTGCAAATGGTTCAATTCAGGTTTACCACTTCGTCTGAAGGAGCGTCGGCAAGCTGCTCGTGAGCTCCATCAGCACATGTACTCTGCGTTCGCTAAGTAAGTTCTACCTAATCCACATAATGCGGGCTAGTGAGATCCTGATCATACCATCCGTCTCACAGGGGAGACATCAGCACTCTGCGCAAGGTTTGCTGCACCGGCCTCGCCAACAACCTTTCCTCCCGTATCGCCAACCGTCCCAGGGATGAGAAGGTCAGCTGGTCTCTTGACAAATACAACCGCACGCCAGCAACTCTTCTCACCGGACTCCGTGTGTTGTCGGACCGTGCTACTCAAATCCCCGAGATCCCCGACTCTGGAGTGCGACAGGTCGTGGTGCGTATCACAAGCAGACAGTCCACTGGGAAATCCAAGGTGGTCAAGACGGGCAAGTCCGAAGTCTCCGTCGAGTCTACCGCCCCGCCCAAGCAACAAGACTGTACCGAATACATTGTTCTCCAGAAGCTTCGGTGGTATGGCGAGGAGGAGGACTGGCGCATTTGGGGCCACGCTACGCCAACCACTGTGGAAGATCTTGCCAACCCCATGTTCGTCTCCGGACTGACGTTTGCCGAGCGTATGGCAGCCATGAAGGAACAGTTTTCAGGAAAGAAATAAGCCCTATCATACGCACAAATTACGCCAACAGCTGTATAATGAACCCCTAGTGGCCAAGAGGTAGAGCCCAGACTCCTGGCACTCATCTCCAGAATGAGCGAGAGGCATGTCATTGCCTCGTTATGACGTGCAAAAAGTGCCCCGTCTTTTCGTTGAGAATGTCATCTCACTTCATCTGTTCCCCTTACAGGATCATGCTGTGCCTCTGACAGCCAACTTCAATTCTACCCGGGTCTTAAAACTACCCAAGTTCCCGGGTTTTTGCATTCTCACCATGTATTCAGCGGGCTCTCGAAGGACTTCGCGTTACCATACTTCATCATTTGTACTATATCCGGTTTTTGCTGTCATTTTCCAACTTGTAATTATCTAACAGCCTTCGTCAATTCAATCATAGAAAGAACGTGTCATGATCAAAACCGAACTGAAGACGAGTTTGTTGATTGCGCTAAATCCAATAGAATTACATTATAGGCAAGTAATGATATCTCATCAGGATATTTCACCGGTCCAAATATCACTATATACATACGTTAGAGAAACGGAAGTCGGCCTGCAAGGTATGGCAAACGAAGAAATGTGGTCATGGCCTTTTGTCCTCGAGGCGTAGCTAATCATCGTCGAAGATCTGGTAAGTGTTCAAAAGAACCGTCTCTATAACTCGGACTTGCCAACCAGCGTCGGCGACGTTGCCGCCGGAACTAGCACCCATAAGAGTAGGTCTAATAGCAAAATGGATGGTTAACTTTCATACGACACCTGGCAGTGTGAATACGCTGACTTACCCGAAACAGATGGCAATGTTTCCTGCGTTCATACGGTTTTGGGTGTAATGTTCCTGCACCTTATTGAGATGCTAAAATAAAGCAGATCAGAATTTGGACTGTACAGGCGGTGGGACTGAGAAAAACATACCAGGATCAAGGCTCTCAGCGTGGCGTAGTGCGCATCTGGAAGATTATTTACAAGCGCATGAAGTGAGTCTCGACGCTGAACATCATCATCAATGCCTGAAGCAGATGTCAGTACCATCAAGAACGTCCTTAATTCAGGGGTTAACAGCTTACGGGCTGCATTTATGAAGTCAGAATAAGACTGCGACGTGAACAGGGGGTCAGGCAAATCTCTAAAGAACTGCTTGAGCAACCCAGCAACGCTGTTCACGTCATGATAAAAGTTTTCCGGATTTGTGAAATCAACCTGGGATGAATCTGATAACGAAATGTTAGGGCGAGATCTCTGCATCTGCGTGACAAGAGCTGACCCACCATTATCGAAAAGTTGTTTCATCTGGTTGATATGGTTCGCACTTCCGGAAAGTCGATAAATGCCCTCCATATCCAAGCCAAAAAGCTCAATAGCTTGGAAGCATTGGTACACAATCATAGGAACGGCAGTTCCATCTCTCAAATACAAATCTTCCAAAGAAACCCCAAACACTGGTTTCAATGGGGGGAGGTGCTGCTGGAAGTTGCCTCCAGTTCCTCCAGCTGGTGGCAATGGGCTCGGTGCCGCTGCCATGGGTGGCGGATTTAAGGGCTGCTTTTCCGGCACAGAGGGACCGTCGCTCACTGGATACGGCGGCTGGAATGCTGAGGATGAGTAAGAGTCTGGATTATGCGGGTAAGATGACTGCGGAGTGCTTGGGACGGGAGCTGCAGCTGGTGCTGGTGCTGGTGCGGGGGATTGTTGCGAAGACTGAGCCGGAAGATGTTGCTGGGAAAATGACTGAAGCAACATTGACGAATTGCGTTTGTTTTGTGTACTAGTTTGAGAGGCTGGGACAACAGGCCCAGTAGTGCCTCCAAGCGTCTGAGGATAGGGGTTAATAGATAGAGATAAATCTGGGGCTTATGGAACTTACCGGATGGCGTTCATACTTAATCTGTTCCGACGTTACCGCCCCAGGATTATTCTGATGGCTTAGCACATAATCGCGGTAGTCTTTGTCATTATCAATCTGCTGGATAACTTCATAGAGACTCTTCGGTGCGGTAGCGGCATTCCCCGCACTATCTTTCAGGGGGCTGATGGACAATCCCTGACCCAGGAGGAGTTTCTCATTAAAAGTTGCTAAGCACAGTCAGTAATGAAACCGTGGAGTCATGGATACCGAGAAGGCATAAGCGTACCGAACTTCTGCATCTGCAACGTAAGGCCAGAGTCGCATTCCGAGATCAATTGCTGGATGTTGTGCACAGCTTGAGGTCGGTGGGTGGAAACCAACTCCTGCCGAGCCGCTTGGGCAGCCTGTACTTTGGACGCATAATCCGAGTCTGCATTCTGGACCTTGCGGAACAGTTCTTCCTCATGCTGAGCGGCCGACTTTGGTCCCTTTAGACCAAACTTTCCACCCTGCTTATCCCCTGTCTTCACCCGGTCGTATTGCTCTGCAAGCGATTCGTATTTGGCCTTCGCTTTCTCTGCTGCTGCCTCCGCCTCCATCACTCTCTTTTCCGCACTCAGGCCGGTTTGTTTCCACTGCTTGCGACCTCGCTCAATATTTGACGCCAACTCGTGAAGGTTATCAGCCATTTGCTGCAGGGACACCGCGAATTGGAGCCCATGATCCGCCATACGATCATGAAATCGGCTCAGGTCATTATGGCTCTGGCTATAGGTGCCTTGACGGTTATCAGTGCGGACGGAGGCATCGAGGAGAGAGCGGGACAATTTTCGCAAGCCTTGAGCGTGCTCCTCTTCCAGGGAAGATCGCTTCTTGAGGAATGTTGAGAAATCCTGGATTTTCTGTGGTCAGCACAATGGCCACATTAAGGGGTCACTAATCCATGGACGAACTCTAGCCGAGGCGACGCTTTGTTTCAACCGGGTCAGGAGGGCGGTGATCCCGATCTATGTGATACAATTTCCAATCAGTAACCTAGCATTTCAATGATTAAACTTAAAGGATTATTATTTACATCTGAGTAAACAACTTTGTCCATACGAGCCTTGAGCTCATCTGAGATCGCCGGCGTCGCCGAGTGGCCGGCGGAATCAGCACCTGCTGGTGGCGCATCGGCATCTCGCGGGGACGGCGCCGAAGGCGCAAGGCCATCGTGGAGACTGACGTCTGCCATAAAGAATAATAATACGGGTAGCGAATGATAGAGAAAACGAGCAGTGCACTGGGAGCAGAAAGAGAGAACTGAAGTTGGTTTTGTAGATCGCGGAAGCCTAATGACACTAGTAGTATCAACGGATAACTTAAGTGTTGGTTAGAGCAGTTGGAAGCATCCGGAGTAATGGTTGGGCGGTGGGGTTGGAGGCAGAATGTAATACCTAATTTAGGTAAATGGCGGTTCAGGTACCAAAGATCCCTCCACCAAGAACACCTTACGCTTCTCGGCTTAGTGGCGCAGCTTTTAGCTGGTGTGGCAGTGACGCCGACGTCATTAGGCTTCACTGTTCTGTCTAGTCCCGTGACTTACGATGGATACTCAGCAGACGACAAGTACTACTACTAGTAGTAGTTCTCTGTACGCAGTACTCATAGTAATGATGCGCTTATTTAATTCTTGGCTAAGAGTAAATTCAATCACCGGCATCGATCTATATCCATATATGTAGAAGGTTGACCATCTGGAGAGCTGATTGCTCAAGTGATGTATAGTTCTGATGTCCGTTTCGGCATGATTCTATGTATCATAGCATGGATGGATGATGGCAATATGTAATGGGCACCATACTAAATACGGTATATATAATACTAGTACTTGTATGATCAGTATGAAGAGACGAACTGGAGACCGCGTAAATCAGGTGCACGCAGACCTACCGGCGTACTTCCTCCGTACTTATGCCTCAGGCATGATTGATGAGTCAGCCTACTAGCAACCGCCGAGTTTCGCGACACTTCAACACCTGAACTTTTGTTCCGATTTCCGGAACATAACCTCTGGTTCCTTGACCGTTTCCCTCTTCGTTTTGCATGTGTTAACGGGCCCCGCGGTTCCATACCGGCGGGCGACGTCTGATTTATACTGATGGACCTGGAGTTCCGGGGTGTCATGGCACCGCATGGACTGCCTACACATGCGAGTCTCTTAACGCCTTCGGGCACTCCCAGCGACCTTCGGAACAACCCCAGAATGCCCCGGCCCGTCACAAGTTTCGATCTATCAGCCAGGAGTTCCGAACCTTGCGAAATGGAGAAGATTCCCCCAATCACGGGGAAGCGCCGGGGTGGTAGTAGAAAGGCCTGTAACGAGTGTAAGCAGCAAAAGGTAAGCCTCCATCCACCACTTCACTCCTCTAGCCCATCTACCTCAAGATAGAATAAGCGTATCGCACCTAGTTCTGGCCTACACTGTCATTTCTTATTCTATCTCCGTCACAAACCACTGGCTAAAGATGGGAATTCGCACACCGTAGTTGCGGTGTGATATTGTACAGACGCCCGCCGCAGCCTGCTCACGCTGTCGGCGACTTCAAATAGAATGCAAGGTCGAACCTAGCTTCAAGCGCATCTCGAAAAGAAGGTGAAACTTAACCATAGGGTCCAAAGTCAAGCGAATCCTACATGGCTGACTGTGCTTCAAACAGGCGTAATGCAGAGATGGAAAAGGAGATCGCAGAGCTACGTCGACGACTGGCTACTTCTGCTGAACCTCATGGCGTGGAAGCAACAGTTAGCGACGAGCTATCCCCATGTTCAGAAGAGGTGTTCTGTGGCCCTGATTCGGCCGTTTCGAACAGAACACGAACGCTATCTGCTCCGCTGGAAGCACAGCCCTTGGCGACTCCCTTAACCATCCAGAGGGGCGCCTCCATTATGTCCCAGGAGGACAATATGTGGAGATTGGAAGATGTCTCACTGCCCCGACCAAGAGTCGCACGGTTATTTGAACAGTAATCAGTTCCCTCTTTGAATTCAGGCCCCTGTCAACCCTAACAATAGGCCAGGTACTTCAAATATTATCATCCCTTCCTACCGCTTTTGAACCCCCAAAAGCCTCCCGAAGAGTATCTTCGTCGTTGCCCCCTGCAGGCATGGACGATTATCTGCGTCGCAAGTCGAAGGGCTCCATCAGAGCCTGGTCTTCTCACTGCACTCTCGGGCCCCTTTAGTCGACTCCTGTGGTCAACTATTACCGGAATTCCGCAGGACTATCGTGTGGTGAAAGCTCTTTGTCTTCTCTGCACGTGGCCGCTCCCCACGACAAGTCAAAGAACCGACGCAACCTTTATGCTTAGCGGACTGATGATGCAGATTGCCATGCAACTGGGATTGCATCGGCCGGTGCAACCGGAGGAGTTCACAACTTTCCGGATGGAAGTCCAAGGGGAGGCTGTAAAAGATCGAATACAAACATGGGCTATATGTAATATTGTAGCTCAGAAGTAAGTAATCCCGTTCTACATTGACACATGTAGTATTCATTCTCACTGTTACTAGTGTTGCTACTGGTTACGGGCAACCGCCTGGCACTATCTACGACTGGGCGCTCGAGCCAGCGTCTCTCCAAGACGCGGATTATCACCCTTCCCATGACCTTCAAACTCGATTGCGGATCGAGAAGTTCTGTGATCGAGTGACGAAGTCATTGTACAGCAGTAAACCTGAACCCGCGGAGTTCATTAGCTCTGAGAAGTTGTTGATTGTGCAGCTGTTGGAAAATGAGCTGAGAGACATGGAGGTCGATCTTGGCCGAGACATCTCTAGTACGTCACGTCTGCATCCATTTATTCTCGAATGCGATCTAATGTGGTATCCGTTAGACATCAACATGATCCATCTACGAGCAGCTGAGCTGCATTTGCGGTACTTTGTATTTTTAGGTTCTAACCCACGAAGTGACGATTTAACGAAACTTTTCATTGCCACCACGTCATTCCTTGGGCGAGTATTAGATCTCGAAACATCTCCTGGGGAGCTGATTGGCCATGCGACTAATTATATTCTTCAAATGATCGTATCTGCTGCGTTTGCCCTGATGAAGCTGTTGAAAAGTGACTTTAGTCGCCACATCGACTTCGATCACGGGAAGCTTCTGTTCAACGGTGCCATTTCAGCCATTCGACGAATTAGCGTCATGGATCACGACCGTCCGGTGCGCCTGGCTGATATTTTAGCTCAGATGTGGAATGCGGGGGGCTCCGATCCCAGCGGAGAGGAGGCTTTACTGCTGAAGGTGCGCTGCCGAATGAGTATGAGCCATGTCTATGATACTGTTTGGCGTTGGCGGCAACGATTCCGGCCGATCAAGAGCGTCGAAGATGCTCAAGGTATGTCTCCTCTTTTCCTTATTCTTCGTACCTGTAGCTTATTGGTGCAGCGTCTTTAGCCAACCCGAACCTGTCGGCGACGGCTGGCCCTGTTTCTCGACAAGACGATTCGCTAGAGGACCCGGGGTTGATGTACGCGCCCAACTTCGACCAAGGAGGAGCATTTATCAGCGAGGTCGGATTTTCGGAAGTGTTCGATTCCCTCAACTGGGTGTTTGACGGAATTCCGGACTCGTTTGTTGCTCCTCCCGTTATGTAGACGCACTTGTACCACCATCTGGGCGGCGGGTTCCTTCGATCCCGATAACGTTTCCGCGTAAGAGGGAAAATCAAAAGAAAAGTTCATTGTGAATACCAGTTTCATTGTACATACTTTTTTAGCTAGACATTCATGCGATAGCCGTTGGGGATCCAACCGCATTCATAAACCACATACCAAGTTTGTTAGTCATCGCGCAGGGATGAATCGAATCCCCCCCCGCGCATATCCTGTCGGTCAACCATGACATCCCTTTTGCTTCCTGCTTGGTCCGGATCATCTCTCTTACATATGCTCGATCAGATCGGCAATCCGCGTAACTGACCATCGCAAAATGGCTTCTGAAGAGGTGAATGTGGTGGCCATCATGTACCCTAAGCCCGGCAAGCATGACGAAGTACGTTAAGTCCCCTTCCCCATCACCACTACGGCCTAACATATGATATGTATTGCTTTACATGGTGTATCCGACTTTCTCTTCAAAGAAATTGACAGCTGACAAGAAATAATGTCACTAGCTTTCACGTCATATCTCGGAACTCACCCGCCAAGTACATGCCACCGAACCCGATACATTAGTTTACTATGCCTTCTCTATAAAAGAGGGAAATGAGATAATGGTCGTGGAGAGGTATGTTTGAACCTCGTTGGCTAGTCTGAGGTCCGATGACTCATGGACGAACAGGTACAGAAACCAGGATGCGCTCCACTTGCATCTGCTCAGTCCATACTTCCAAGAATTCGGCAGCAAAGCGGCCGGGCTGATGGAGCGGCCGTACGATGTGAAGGTTGGACATGGGATTCTTCCTTCCTCGGTTGGCGTTACTCGTGTTCAATCATAGCCCTTCTTACTTTTTCTTTTATGTCTTTTTCTATTAATGTTCCCTATTCTGTCTTTCTGTCTTTGTTTCTCCAACCATGTTGTATTTCTCTTGTCTTTTGATTCGCAGTAGTATCGTGATGGCTGACTCGTCAGTCGATAGGCAGTACTATAATGCAATGATGATAGAGTCGTACTATTCTTTTACGGATGCGATAGACTCAAGGGATCACCCAAATCATAATCTGATTGAGCGCCACCTGTAGGGCCATGCATACTTGGCTTGCATGATATCACACCAGGATGGAGGCATAGATGCGGAGACTCCAACCAGTCGCAAACAATGGATGGGATCTAAAAATACCGGTTGGGGAGGAGCTTTCGTTTTTTTGGTGGCGGTCAATGCAGCCCACTGCCAATGGTGGTGGCTGTCATCCGTTTGGCTTCTTTTTCTTTTCCGTTCTCTTTTTTTCTTTTTTCTTTTTTTTCTTTTTTTCTTCTTCTTTTTCGTTCTTTTCTTTATGGCATCAGAATCAGTCCTTGGATGCGTACGCCCCGGTAGGGTTATCTTGTGTTCTGTTGTGATAGTGGCGGAGGCTGAAGGAATTAGGGTACGGTACGGTAATGCTTTAATGTTGGATGTACATATATATAGTGCCTAAGTACATACAGACAGACAATATGTATCTATTTTGTTTTCTATGATAAGAGACAATAGGTACCTAGCTACTGGTTATAAGTTAGTTACTATGGTAAGTGTTATGTAAGTCCGTCATGAACGACGTGTGGTACCGCCCCTGAACCAAACTTCCTCAACGACTGTACCTTGGATGCCGGCGAGTAAGTGCAGGAATTGGCTATAATTATAGTAAGGGCCACAGCGAGACAACCAGAATGAGGCGTGATTCGAGGAGAAAGCAGATGGAGAGGTAGAGAACGATTGCCAGTCAGGATACAGCAAGAGACCGTCCAAGTACCATCTTGTAGGTACCTAACCAGGCTAACAAACTAAAAGTTGGTTTAGTGCTTCCAACCCCCCCCCCCCCCCCAGCCGACTCGACCTTAAGCAACAACCGTGCAGTCGCCTCGGACTTTCCCATCTCATTGGCGCTTAACCACCAGCCATTCAGTGTTCAATTTTCCCTGCCTTGTGATATTTCTTGGTTTAGTCTATAGTTCGTAGGAAGCTATTGATTTAGGGATGTCTGGGGGCTCTCCCCCGTCACGCAAACCAGCCGAGGAAGGAAAATCTGATATTCGCGTCATAATCCCAGAGAAAGCAATCTAGTTGGCTGGATAGGCTTGAATTGATGGAGTTGATAGATTAATTAATTAATTAATTCATTCTGGATGACTATCATTATTATTTTGTATTTTTCATTTTTTTCATTTTGCCATTTTTCCATTTTTTTTTATTTTTATTTTTTATTTTCCCTCTTTGAATACCTTAAAATTCAGGTGAGCTGTCGACTCCAGGCAAAAGCTCTCTCCCCCTTTACGTTGGCCCCGAACTTGTCCCCCTCCTCTCGTCTTTCGATTGCCCCCTCTCGCTCTTCTTCCCTTCCAGTTTCTCCCTCTCCCTCTTCTTCTCCTTGAACCCTCTCCGCACTCCCATTCGCTGTCTACTGCATTTGGTGGTCGTTCTGGTTCCAACTTCATTTGCTTCACCGTCACTTCGTCATCCTTCTCTATTTTTCTTCCTACCTCATTTGATTATCTTTATCCTCTTCATCGATCCCATAGCGTCTTGTGATTCGCCGTGTTGAATATCGATCTATTCTTCCCTCTGCGCTTTGTCCGATTTGCAGATACCCGTCCACGTTGCTTTTCCACCGCCAACAACCCACCTACTTATAACGCCCTGACCGTCGTCCATTTGACTGTTCGCCCGCTGCGCATCTCTTGTCGCTGCAATTTCCCCTTTTGCCTCCATAGATTGCAGCTTCTGAAAGAATGGCGACCGGTCCCGCTACCCAATCTTTGAAGGTCAGCACTCGCCAGCACTCCCGTAGCTTATCTGTCGATCGATCACACGGCGACTAATAGACGACCATGTACAGTGTGTAGTCACTGGTGACGGTGCTGTTGGAAAAGTAAGTCACAACTCTTTCTTTAGTGATTTCCGGTCCATTCGTCCACTCCATCGGCTAATCCGGGACCCAATTAGACATGTCTCCTGATCACCTACACAACCAACGCTTTCCCTGGGGAGTATATACCGACCGTGTCCGTGGCCCTCTCTTCCCTATATCCGATTGAGCCGAGCCCGTGGTTGACCTGGACCCCAGATTTGACAACTACACCGCTAGTGTGATGGTAGATGGCCGACCGATTAGCCTAGGACTCTGGGATACTGCTGGACAGGAGGATTATGACCGACTTCGCCCGTTGTCCTATCCGCAAACCGATGTCTTTCTCATCTGCTTCTCCATCGTCAGCCCTCCGTCGTTCGACAACGTCAAAGCTAAGGTGCTTACTCCATCCAATCGACCCTTGTGGAAACTCGCCCCCCGATGTCGATTGCATCCAGTCTAACTAACCTTTGTGCAGTGGTTCCCGGAGATTGAACACCACGCGCCCAATGTCCCCATCATTCTGGTTGGAACGAAGCTCGATCTGAGAGACGACCCCGCGATGACAGACGCCCTTCGTCAACGCAAGATGGAACCTGTTTCATACGAACAAGCCCTCGCTGTTGCTAAGGAAATCCGTGCACACAAGTATCTCGAATGTTCGGCTCTGACACAGCGTAATCTGAAGAGCGTCTTCGACGAAGCTATCCGGTAGGTCGGCCCACACCAACACAAGACTCGGGGTTCTGAGGTTAACTTGCCCCGGATCTAGTGCTGTTCTCAATCCACGACCCGCCACGAAGCCGAAGAAGAGCAAATGTTTGATTCTGTAGATCGATTCTTATAATTTTCTTCCGACTATAATATAAAGAACTAATACGGCGTCTGGGTTGTTGGGGAATCTATCCCCTGTGATGACAATATCTTTCAATTCTCTTGTTCCTTATTCACTGGCTGCATTTTTCCATCCTTGGCTCGATGCTACGATTTTGATGTTGTTTTGGGAGCCCAGATGATCTGGCCCGTCATCTCTTTACCTCTCCTTTATTACAGTATAAAGATGTAACACGCCATACAATATCATGCAATGAATGTCGCTTGATGGGGTCGTGGCTTGCTTTTTCTCTCCTGTTTTTTTTCGGTACTTGTCTCTGGTGGTTGTGTCTCATAAAGGGACGTAGTGACGACCATGCATGCTGCGGGTGTGATTGCGATGGATGCATCTTAGCGAACGTTAGTCATTTGGAAATGGACGATTATGCATTCGAAGTCTTTCTTGCTTTTTCTTCTTTTTTTCTCTTTTTGCATTTTCATTCCTGTCTTACGCATTTCACCTAGCATCCGCCGGAAGAAAGAGAACGAAAAGGATATCTCTATAAATTAAACACAAGAACAAACACTTTTGACAGAGCAACACGAGCCCACATGGAATTGAGGGCGGCAGTCCCGGGGGAGGAAAGAAACTATGCCATGCGACTCAGTCGGCTGGGGTGCACACCCGCAAATTCATCAACGCCAGTTTCTTCAACCTTGGTTTTCCTTTCCCTCTCCTGTTGGATGGACTTGGCGTTGCGCTGCCTCTCTTCGAAGAGCTTCTTGTTCTTCGCTTCGATCTTAGCTTTGCGGTTCTCGTTGTTGCCACCACCACCAGCACTAAAGAGAGGGTCATTAAGAAGTTCAGTAGACCGGAATTAATACAGAACGGATGCTCACGTCAATTCAACATTGATCCTCCGGGGCGGGTACTTCTTATCATCGAACATCGAGTGGTGATACAACTTGAGGCAGGTCTTCATGCGATCGTAATTATCGAACTCAATGAAGCCGAACCCACGGCACTTGGTCGGTTTCTCCTTCTGGGTAGCAACACGTACTGAGACTGGGGCAATCTTTTCGAAGTGGGCGGACAAGGACTCATGGTTGGCAGAGAAGGGCAGGTTTCCTAGCCAAGCACATTAGGGATGACGGGAAACTCTTGGGGAGGGACTGGCCGAACCCACCGACAAAGCAAATGAACCGGGAACCTTTCTGCTTCGGGGCGTCATCCTCAGCAGGTTCAGCTTGAGATTGCTGCTCGTTGGACTCCGGCTGCTGCTCTTGGGCCTCGGCCTTCTTCTTTTCCTTTCTGGCCTTCTTTTCCTGCTTCGCCTTCTCTTTCCGCTCTTTCTTCTCCTGGGCCTTCTTATCTACCTTATCCTCGCTTTCCTCGGTTGGCTTCTCATCCACTTCCATCGCATCGGCGGTTTCCTGCTTCTCTTCCTCGGCACCGTTTACCTCCGGCGCAGCCTCCTCGCTCTCATCCTTCTTTCCTTTCTTTTCTTTCTTCTCCTTCTTCTCCTTCTTTTCCTTTTTCTCTTTCTTGTCCTTCTTGTCCTTCTTCTCTTTCTTCTCTTTCTTGTCTGATTTGATCTGCTCCTCAGCACCAGTATTGTCCACCTTCACATCTTCCACAGTGTCCTTCGACTTGCGCTTCTTCTCTTTCTTCTCCTCGCGCTTAGCCTTCTTTCCCTCGGGCTCAATGGCCTCCTCGGGGTTGTTTTCGACGATCTTGCGCTTCTTGTCGCCCATGTTGTTGGTAATGGTCCCGCGAATTGGAATGAAAGTCGAAGACTGAAAAGTGAGATACGATTATATAGTCCTGGATATACCAACAATGGAAAGACCGGAGAAGAAAGGAAACCCCGAAAGAATGTAAAGATAATATTGACGAGGGGGAAAAAGCCGTATCAAAAGTTGGGCAAATTTGGAAATTTGCTTTTTTTGCCGGGCGGAGAATGTTGGGCGGTGTGAGAAGTGGTTGTTTCACATGTTCCTGATACTATGCCTTAGGCACTCAACGAAGTAGAAGTATAGCCTCAAGAGGACTAACAATACTATGGTTGGATCCAAGCTTCAATGAGGACTTCCTTTTCTTTTGGATAGTTGTCCCTATGCTACATCCGGTACAGTTTCAGCAAGCTACTGGTGGTGAACTATGAGGTTTTGCCTTAACAACATCTTCTGCTAAGATATCCATCTTGTTTGTAGTTGTGCAGATGCACCTGTATTGTGTGCTATCTTTCTTGGGATGCCCTTGCACGTTAAGAAAGGTGCCGCCACCAGAATAATGCATTGAATTTCAACCGGACAACAGCCTGAGATCCTTCACTCCCCTGACAACCAATGGCTGATCCTCTTCAGGATCCCTTGTCTTGGACCTATATATAGATAGTCCTAGGATGGGGAAATCGGGAGCGTACAAAAAGGAAGACGCCCGTGTTTATCCCTCAAATTCAAACCCGGACTAGTTTCAGAGACACGAGTAAGTAGTACCCTGTGAGTCGGCCATATATTTTCCACGTGAAATCTGTCGCTTTGCATCTCTGATGCCGAGAGACATAAATTGATGGATGGATGCGGGGAAAGCGTCGATCATCCCCATAAAATGGGTCGAGGACCTTTTCGTTCCTCCCAATATTTAGCAACGTCTCGATCGCACTCCGGAACATCCACTTCAGCAACTTGCGAGCACATCTGGGACTTCCTCAATAGAATCGCCATGCGCCTCTTCGTAGGCCGCTTCGTTCTTTCTTTTCTACTTTTCCTCAACATTGATTGCGCTTCAGCCGGGATCAACACCTCCTGCTTGAAAGTCGTCACGGCGCTGGCCGCTCGTCCAGGCGATCTCTTTGCTAAATTCCAAGAGCACATCTGCGACCAAGGTTGTCGGCCGACAGTTCCGCATTGGGACCTCTGGACGAGAAACAACTCCTTCGTCCCCGCCGTGCGCAGCATCACGAAACGCTTGGATGCGCCGCGACATGAAGAGGCGATGATCAAACTGGGCGACGACGCGGCGGACATTATCAAGCGTCGTTGTGGTCCGATGCTGCACGGCGGCGATCTTTGTTCGGACTCGGAGACGCTGGCGGGCTTCGGAAATTGTTTCAAGAAGAATTTCGTCCGGGCGGCGATAATGAATTTGCCGACATTGCTGCCTATGGTCAGCGAGGAGGTTTGTCGGGAGCAGTATGAGTATCTGAAGACCGACCGGTTGTGGGAGGAGATTATCCCGAATAATATGAGGGAGTATGCCAGTGTGTGCCAGACCTTGGGAGATGGAGTGCCGGAGCTCGACCATGGGAAAGTACATGAGGAATTATAGCCTACGAATAAATGTATGTATATAGAGGACGATGTATATTTAGTAGTTAGTAAGTACTAGTAGTTAACTACTACACAGTACATGCTTGATATCACGGGATTAAGGATCGGAGATTAGGGCCTGGACTTGTCAGCATCTTTCCTTTCAACTCTTATACCCTTCCTCTGTTTCCCTCGTCATTCCTTACTTCTTCTTATCCAGTAACCGTCTAATCTTCTTTCTTATTCGCTGGTCTGTTACATGAACCGCATCATGATAACCCTGGCCTGATCAATATCTCCTCTCCTTCGACACCTCCGAATGGCGTCAATGACGTCGGTCGCCCGCACACTGCGGTCCACTCCAACCGCGCACACGACCACCTACTCTATCCCCCGATCGCATCTACGTCCTCGTTCTCTTCCACACTTCATTTCTCCTCAGTTCGCTCGATTGGTACACCCCGGTACCTACCAGCCTTTCGTCCCGCCGTCCCCGAGCGAGCTAGGGAAGCCCGCCCCCGCGAAGACCTATGATCGGTCCCGCAAATGGCTCCGACGCCTTGTCTACCTGTCGCTAGCCACCGGCGTGGTCTATGCGATTGATACCCAGTTCTACGCATCCTCCCTGACGAGAACAGCCCGGACCTTCACCCTCGGTCTAATTGTGGCTCTGGACTATAAGATCAATTTCCGACCAAATCCTCTCCTCGCCAAGTCCATCAATCATTTACACACGCGCAACGCCGAGAGACTGTCAGATTTGCTGCGGTATAATGGCGGTCTCTACCTGAAGATCGGTCAAGCAGTCGCGATGCAGTCGGCCATTCTGCCGCCCGAGTTCCAGAAAATGTTCTCGCGCATGTTCGACGATGCCCCGCAGAACGATTGGAAGCAGGTGGAGAAGGTCATCCGTGAGGATTTCGGCAAGTCTCCGGAGGAAGTCTTTGGCGTATCATTCACAGGCGATCCCACTAAAGGTGTCATGGAGCGCAAGGCCAGAGCCAGCGCCAGTGTAGCGCAGGTTCATTGGGCTCGCTTGGCCGATGGAAGGGAGGTTGCGGTGAAGATCCAGAAGCGGGAAATTGCGCAGCAGATTCAATGGGATTTATGGGCGTTTAAGTAAACTTACTCTCCCTTCTGAGCTGGCTTTGGCTGCCTACTGACAAACGATAGGGTCGTGAGCTGGGTCTACAGCCGTGTGTTCGATATCCCGTTTTACTCTTTGGTCCCCTATGTCAGCGAGCGCCTATTTCTGGAGACGGACTTCGAGAATGAAGCTGATAACTCGGAGCACATGGCGAGACTCGTTGCAGGCGAGTCACGCCTCCGAAATCGCGTCTACATTCCCAAGGTCTATCGTGAACTGAGCTCCAAGCGGGTCATGACCGCGGAATGGATCGAGGGCGTCCGCCTCTGGGACAAGGACGCTATCACACGGTCCTGGCGCGGCGGTTGGCGTCAGGGTAGCCCAGGATGCCATGGAACCCCAATGGACTCCCCACAGTCCGACAGCACATCCACCAAGGTCTCCCACAACCCGAACGCAA